GAGAGAGAAAGAAAAGAAAAAAACATCAGTGTAGCAGACCAGAATTTCCTAAGACTTCTTGAGAACAGTAGACATTTGCCTCTGGCTGCCAAGCTGCAGTAGTGGGAGAGACAGCCTGGCTTATCCTCTTATGAAATGAAATTAGTTACAAACACAGTTGTTCCCGGCCCAAATAGGATGCTAGTCTGCATCCAGCTTAGTATGTAGTGGGTGACGGTTTGATGACTTGAGCCTGCAGATGAAAGAGTCCAAGACTGGGGCCAAGACTGTGATTTCTGGTCCGGGTTTCCCCAGGGAAGGGTCCATCTTCCCCTTTCTGCTCCTTCACTTAATGGAGTTCTTGCAAAAGTGTGGGGAACTGGGAGCTTTCTCAGCTCCAGCACCAATCAACACATGTTCCGTGGGCACCTACAGGGCACTCAGGCACATGCTAGGTCGTCTGGGCAATCCTTGCAGGTTTATTTTTTTTAATATATTTTTTATTGATTTTTTTACAGAGAGGAAGAGGGATAAAGAGTTAGAAACATCAATGAGAGAGAATCATCGACCAGCTGCCTCTTGCACACCCCCCACTGGCGATGTGACTGCAACCAAGGTACATGCCCTTGCCAAAACTGGTTTGGTTCAGTGGATAGAGCATCAACCTGTGGACTGAAAGGCCCCAGGTTCGATTCCAGTCAAGGGCATGTTTCTTGGTTGTGGGCACATCCCCATTGAGGGCTGTGCAAGAGGCAGCTGGTGTATGATTCTCATCGATGTTTCTAACTCTCTATCCCTTTCTCTTCCTCTCTGTGAAAAATCAATAAAATATATATTTTTTTAAAAAAAAAAAGGTATATGCCCTTGACCAGAATCAAACCTGAGACCTTTCAGTCCGCAGGCCGATGCTCTATCCACTCCTTACAGGTTTTAAACAAGAAGTACATAGCACAGCAAAGGCAATAAAATGAAAAGATCACCTACAGAATGGGAGAAAATGTTTGCAAATCATATCTGAAAGAAATTAATATCCAAAACATATGAAGACCTCATATGACCCAATAGCAAAAATACAATCTAGTTTAAAGAATGGGCAGAGAAGCTGAATAGACATTTTTCTGAAGAAGATGTGCAAATGGCCAACAGATACATTAAAAGATGTCCAACATCAGTCATCATCAGAGAAATACAAATTAAAGCCACAATGAAGTATCGCCTCACATCTGTTGGAATGACTATCATCAAAATGACAAGAGATAAGTATTGGCGAAAATGAGGAGAAAGGGAACGCTTGGGCACTGCTGGTGAGGATGCAGATTGGTGCACCCACTATGAAAAACAGTATGGAGGTCCTTCAAAAAATTAAAAATAGAACTATCATACGATCCAGCAATTCTATTTCTGGGTATATATTTAAAGGAATCAAAATCACTGTCCTGAAGAGACACCTGTGTAGACACCTCATGTTTATTGCAGCATTGTTTATAATAGCCAACATATGGGAGCAAGTTAAGTGTCTGGCAATGGATGAATGGATAAGGAAAATGTGATAAATATATACACACACATATACAGACACTGGAATATTATTCAGTCATAGAAAAGAAGGAAATTTTGCATTAATAACAACCTGAATGAACCTGGAGGACATTTTGCTAAGTGAAATAAGTGAGAAGAGAAAGATGAACACTGTATGACCTCACTTACATGTAGAACCCATAAAACAACAAACTCATAAAAACAGGGAACAGATAGGTGGTTACGGGGGAAATAGGTAAAGGTGGTCAAAGGATATAAACTTGGAGTTATAAGATTAATAACTTCTGTGGGTGTAATGAACAGCACGGTGAGTATAGGTAACAATACCATATTGTATATGTGGAAGTTGCTAAGAGAGTAGCATTTAAAAGTTCTCATTACAAGAAAAACATGTGTAACTATGTGAGGTGATGAATCTTAGCTAAACTTACTGTAGTAATCATTGCACAATATATATCATGTATCAAATCAATATGTTATATGTCAATTATATCTCAATGAAACTGGAAAAAAAATAATAAGAATAAAAATGTTTAAAGATCATTTTTATAAAAGGAACTACAAAAAGAGAACACAACAGAGGCAGAGGAGTCATCAGAGCCAGTGGGAGTAGGGGGAGTGACTTCCAGATAACCGATGGTTAAATTATTCACCAAGTTTGCAAGTAGAGTGAAATCAGCCATGGCGGGAGTATTTTCACCAGGAACATTGACAAATGCTACAAATCAGGGCTCCCCTTGCCCCTCCAGAACTGGTTTGCCAACACTCCACTAAGCAGTTCCCAAACGTAAAACTTCGAGGCAGGTCTGTATGGGTTGAAAGCCAGCTCCATCACTTACTAGCTGGGAGACCTTGGGCAGATTATTTAGCCCCTCTGAGCCTTTCTCTTTCTGTGTATGTAGCACACAGGTATGTGCCAGGTATACTAGTAGTCCTCAGCACTTTATACATGTGAATTCACTGATTCCTCACAATGACCCTATGAAGAAGAAACTATTATTATTCCCATTCTCTAGTTAAGGGAAATCGAGGCAACAAGTGATTAAGGAATTCAGCCAAGATCCCACAGCTGGTAAGAGGTAGGGCCAGGATGCAAGACAGGCAAGCAGTCTGGCTTCAGAGCCTGCCCTGTCACCTTCCAGCCCTGCGGTAGCCACTGGCCACATGTGGCTATTGAGTAAGTACTCGGAAAGTGGCTGGTCTGAACTGAGCTGTGCTCTAGGTGAAATGCACCCTGGATTTCGAAGACTTAGCATTAAAAAAAAAAAAAAAGAATAAACAATATCTCTTTAATACTAAAACAGATCACTGGGAGAAATGATAATATTTTGGATATGTTGGTTTGAATAAAATATATTATTACAATTAATTTACTTGTTGCCTTTTACTCTTTTTAACATGGCTACTAGAAGATTTTAAATTACATTTGCTCATGTTATACTTCAACTGGAAAGTACTGTCCTGTGCTGATCTTAGAGCTTGGTGTATTAAATCTTAACAAAGGAGAGCGCTGAGCACAGAGCTTGGAAAAATTAACACCCATTATATATATATTAGCAATATATATATATATAAATTAACATAATATAAATTAAAACCCATTATAAATATATTAGCTATATATATATATATATATATATATATATATATATATATTGCTAATATGCTAAGTGTCCAACAGTTCGACTCTTCAACTGGTAACCATTATGTGCACTTATCACTAGGGAGCAGATGCTCAATACACAGGCAAGGATATTTTGAACAGACTGATGAATCTCAGAGGGAAGGGGTGAGGGGGGAAGGTGGGAAGAGATTAACCAAAGATCTTATATGCATACTAGAAGCCCAGTGCACAGATTTGTGCATCAGTAGGTCCCGCAGCCTGGTCTGCAGAGATTGGGCCAAAACTGGCTCTCCAAGACCCCCCAAGGGATCCAGGATTGCAAGAGAGCTCAGGCCAGGCAGAGGGACCCTACTGGTGCCCGAATCTGTGCACCAGGTCTCTAGTTATTAATATTACTGAGATCAATGGTTTTCAAATTGTATAGTCACAGAGAGGAAGGGAGAGGGAAAGAGAGACAGAAACATCAGTGGTGAGAGAGAATCATTGATCAGCTGCCTCCTGCACACCCCCCAACGGGGATCAAGCCTGCAACCCAGGCATGTGCCCTGACCGGGAATCAAACTGTAACCTCCTGGTTCATAGGTCAATACTTAACCACTGAGCCATGATAGCCGGGCCAGTCACTCTTTTTTCAAGCAACTTCTTGTACCGATAAAAGAGGAGTGGCCTGGTCACGCTGGGCAGCACCTCCACAGGCTGGAAACCCCCAAGATTCCCCATCTTCAAGCTGTAACATCACACATCTGCGATTTCACACAGGGCGAGGGAGTGGACAAAACCAAGGTGTCTATGGCGGTGCTTTTATAATGAACATCGATCTGAAATGTTGCTACCACAAGAAAGAAGACAATCCTGTGATGTGTCAGGTGTTCACTAACACCACACTGGCAAGCACATTGCAAATATATACGCGTATCAAAAAACACATTGCACACCTTAAACTTGTTAGATGTCAATTATATCTCAATACAAAATAGTTAACTCATTAATTAAAGAAATACCAAAAAAATATTATCTTGGAAAAACATTACCATTTTGCTTGGGAGAATCAAAGTGGTTTGGTCCTAGGTCTAGGCACAGCCCAGAAAGCAGGGTGTCATGAATGTGAAGGGAGAAAGGGGTCACTCATGAGCCCCTGGACCATTCCCTGCACATACAGCACCTATGCATGACCCCGGCACCTCTCCACTCTGCTCCCCACAACCTGCCAACTCCCATCCCTGCAGGCCCTGGCAGAAGGCTTTGGCTCTGGCTGAAGGTGCCAACATCTCCAGGTCTAGCTCCAGGGAAGGACGCGACACTCAGCCCAGACAGTTCAGTGACTTTGCTGTCCTCAAGGCAACTCTGGGCTCTGCAGCCCAGCTCAGCCCTGCGTCTGGGAGCAGCCTGCCGCCTCCCACTGCAGCCCTCGCCCCGGCTCTGGTATGTGTGCGGACCGGGACAGCAGCCAGCTCTTCGCCGGGCTCTCTAACAAGTTCCACGAGTCTGTTTGTTAAAGAAAAATTCCAGTGGGCGCATCCAACACATGGAACTCAAGTGCAGATTTATATTTGTCCAGCCCACTGCCAGGGAGATCACATGCCCCGTGAGTCACTCCAGATGTGCTCAAAAACAGAGTCTCTCTGTGGCCGCCCAGTCCCCCAATCCCAGGGAGAGTCGGACAGACAGGTCCCCCGCCCTCGCCCCCAGGAGGCAGTCTCTGCCTCCACCCTCTGAGGCGGGAGAGGGCATCGGCTCTTTGGGAGAGGGAAAGGTGGGAAGAACGGTGCCGGCTCCTGGGAGGACCGGGACGGGCACACCTGTAGCTCCTGGGGTCCCCCTGGGTTTGAGGCGACCCCTCACCTGCGTGGAGGAGAAGATGTGCTGGAGGACGCTGCTGCTGCTGCTGCTGTGTTACGATGCTCAGGCCACCGTGTCCCACAGGTGGAGCAGGGGTGAGTTGCTCTTTACTATCTGTCTGATGCTCATCATTCTTTCTTTTTTTTTTTTTTTTTTAAATACAACTAGGAATTGGGGAGAGGGGATTAGAAACCCCATTTCCTCCTTTAATCTCATCTCTGGGGATGGCTTTGTGCTTCTTGACAAGTGAGAGGGGTTGGGAGGTGATGGGGGACAAGACACTGAAGGAGACCAAAGCGCTGAGGGGACTTGGTCAAGGTGGGAAGGCAGAGGGCATCCCTCTCAGCACGCCAGAGCCAAGTCCTCTTTGCTTCGTGGAGGGTACACAGACCTCCCCACCCCACCCCAAGCTCCCCTCTCCCAGGCTGCTGCCCTGGGCAGGCGTGCGGAGAGCAGGTGTCCAGGTGAGATGTGCTAACACCTGGGAGCAGGGGTGACAGCTGCTCCCTGGGGGCCCTGGCTGGAGTGGACTCTCTGCAGCAGGCAGAGCAGGCCCAGAGGCAGGAGAGGAAGGGAAAGTCTTCAGCATCCTTGTGTCTACCTGCCTGCCACCCCCACCAGCGCCCAGCCCTTCTTGGACACAGTCCCTCAGAGCCACATGCCATCTGCCCAGGACCAGCTCCAGGTGGCCGACGGTGACAGCACCCCCAGCCAGTGGGAGTTTATCGCTGTTAGGAAGCGAGGGACCCAGAGCATTAATCGCTGATGCTGATCTGGACTGACGTCTGCCCGCCCAGCCCCTAACGTCAACTAAGGTCTCTCTCCCAGAAAGAACGGGGAAGAGGCAGGCTCAGGTGTTTAGAGAGATCCAAACGAGGCTCAGGACTGGCATGGGGGGGGGGGAGATGAGCCTCCCAGGTCCCAAGAGAGTGTCAGGGAGGAAGGCCCGGCCGTGTGGGGACAGAGGGCACAGAGCAATGGTCCTGGAATGGAGGGGGCTGGGCACTGCACTTATTTGGGGCTTTATTCCCTCATTTTTACGCCTGAGGCTAGGGACTCGCTAGTTCTCTGAACTGAGCTGTGAAATGAGTGTTGCCCTGGGGTCAGTAATTAATGGAATGTTTTCCTTTATTTCCAGTAAGACCACTACACACACACACACACACACACACACACCCTGCTCATCGTGTGGACAAACTTTGGGGCAACACTTGGAAGGAAACAGAGAGCAAAGAGACACTGGAGCTATATGTCCTGCCACTCTCCCTACGTGACCCTGGGGGCCTTTCTTAATTAGCCTATAAGAAAGGTGATACAATCCACTCTAGGCTGTTCGAAAGCCGGATGAGATGATCTGATTGCAACAGGCTTGTAAACACGATAACCACGTCAGGAGCTACCCCACGAGGATCTCACAGAGTTGGACTATGTCTCTAACAGGCTGTGTGATCTCTGGCCAGTCTCTTAACCTCTCTGAGCCTTTGCTCACTAACAGATACCATAGTAGCAATACCAAAACTTACCTTCCCTGTGTGGTTGTGAGACTCAGGTTAAAAATGTACATAAAATGCTTTGTAAACGATGAAGCGCTATATAAATGTTAGCCATTTAAAAATTAAATCATTCTATTAAAAAAAAAAAAAAAAAAAAAAAAGCTTGAGATTCTCAACAGACAGTTTTATAGCAACATCCTGGGAGCAACTGCTCCGGCCCCACCCAGCCCTCACTGGGGAAGGGCTACCCCAAAAACAAGACAACCAGGAAGCGGGCCCAGCGACCTAGAGAGGCGGTGAGGCAGCCGGTGCTAAGCACTGGATTACTAGTGCACGTCAGTGCGCAGTCAACAAAGATACGGAGCCCTCCGGCCCTCATCAAAGCCTTCCACATAGTGCATCTTTCTTCATGTTTAACATTTTTTCCCTACTTATACGAGGAATACACAATTGCCGAAATGGGAGTCACACCCAAATAAATGTAAACCATTTTTCCAGATGTACTTACTGTTCCTTTCACCTCCATCCTTACCCCATCCCACACCAAACCTAGGCCTAATTCCCTTTGGAAACAGCCTCAGGGAGACCACCCCTCTAAGATCCTTCTCCTCCAACAACTCCACCCCAGCCCTCCTCCTCCCCCACCCTCTCTCCACCCTCCCGCCTGTGCCCTCTCCCCACCCCTGCACAACCTCTCTCCCCCCACAACCCCCTCACGTGTGGAAATGTAGAGATAAACCCAAAGGGAACACACCCTGTGGTCAGGACACCCCTTTTCTTACCGGTCATTCCCCTGAGAAGCGCTCTCTAGGATTCGGCCCTGAGAGGTAGCTTTCCATGTGCCAAGTCGCTGTTCCAGCCCCACCAGCGTGATTCAGACCAAGTGACTCACCTGCGGTGAACATGGTCCGCCGGCAACTGGGCACACCTGGCCCAGTCCCAGCAGCCCCAGCTCCTGCCGGAGCAATGCCGGGGGCTGGAGACCACCAGCCAGTCTTTGGAGAAGGGGGGGGGAGGATAGATGCATTAATTACCATGTAAATATATTTTTATTACATACATATAAATTATTTCCCTTTTAAAAATATATTTTTTTATTGATTTCAGAGAGGAAGGGAGAGGGAGAGAGAGATAGAAACACCAAAGATGAGAAAATCATGGATTGGCTGCCTCCTGCACGCCCCTCACTGGGGATCAAATCCAGGCATGAATCCACCCATGACCTCTGGTTCATCGGTCGCTGCTCAACCATTGAGCCACACCTTCAGGCAAATTGTTCCTTTTTGAAGCAGTGTCATAGGGAAGGGTGGCCCTCGGTGCCTGGTGGGATCTGTCATCTCCCGGTGTCCATTGTCGTGCGGTTTGCCCTTGCATCAGGATGAAACCAAGGGCCTGAGGTGGGTGTCCAGCAGGTGCTGACGGATCGGGGGAGCATTAGAGTGGCCCCACTTACTCCGCAGTCACTCCGGGAGGGGTTCCCTGCTGATCAGGGACAGATAAGGACACGGAGGAAGGGAGGTGGGAATGTGCCCGGATCACCCCGCACCCAGCTGGATTCTGACCCCCACCTGCTCTGGCCTCAGAGTCTGGCTGTCACTCACTCTCCCACCCTCCCAGCAGCCCTCAGACCCCTGGGGCGGCAGGACCGTCTGGCCACGAGGAGCCAGGGAGCCGCCGAGCCGGCTGGGCTCCTGACGCCCTTCCAGCAGCGCTCCCTCTGGACCCGGCGCCCGGGGCCGAGCACGGCTGCTCAGAAGATCGCTGTTTCTAAAGGGCTGGCCCGGGAGCAGCAAGTAAATGACATCAGTAGGATCTGGCAAACGATCTTTGAAAAACCAGAGCCTCTCCTTTCCACACCCAGGCCTTTCCCACAGCGCGGCTCCCCCTGACGCATTAACAATGTGCCTGTGTTTGGCGCGAAGCGGGCTGCAGCCCGACCCCTCCAGCAAGCCCGGCACCGGCGCCGGGTACAGCTCCTGGGGACCCAAGAGGTGCTTGATATGGCTCAGGCTCCGGTACACGGAACCTCTTGGGGTGGGAGGAAGAGGCAGTTCTTATCCCAGATTATCACACACACACACACACACACACACACACACAAACCCACAAAAAACGAAGGGAGCCGAAACTGGTTTGGCTCAGTGGATACAGCGTTGGCCTGCGGACTGAAAGGTCCCGGGTTTGATTCCGGTCAAGGGCATGTGCCTTGGTTGTGGGTACATCCCCAGTGGGGGGTGTGCAGGAGGCAGCTGATCTGTGTTTCTCCCCCATCGATGTTTCTAACTCTCTATCCCTCTCCCTTCCTCTGTAAAAAATCAATAATATATATATATATTTTTTTTTTTAATTTTTTTTAAATGAAGGGAAGGCCAGGTTCCAAGTCAAAACAGGCTCCTTCCTTTAGGGAAGCTTTGGCCCTTGCGTCTGAGCAAGAGGGCTTGGAGGGCTGAGCCCGCCGTGCCTGAGACCATGTCCTCCCGGCCAGAGCAGGGGCTCCTGGGAGGTGCAGGCAGGCTTTGGCCTTCCGGAGACCACACCTGCTCTCTGATAAGGAGCCAGGACCTGCAACTGCGCCTAAGTTCTAAAACCACCCTGTTAGGAAGAGAAAGGCTTAGTGAAGCACATGGTTGGACAAGAATGGAAGATCGTTCATGTGTTTCTATGGAATCATTTATTCATTCAACAAACAGTCCTGGGCAGGAAGCTGGGCACTGGGAATCCAGTGGCCAAAAGGGACAACACCCCATGCCTTGGCAGAGCTGACATTCTAGTGATGGGAAACAGACACGCATAGAAATAAAACGTCTGGTTTGTCAGATGGCAATAAAAGTAGGAACAGAGGGTACCCAGGACTATCATCTTAAATAAGGTAGTCAGGGAGGGCTCCCCAAGGCGGCGACTGAAGACCCGAAGGAACTGTGGGTGTTCCAGGCAGAAGGAACAGAAGTGCCCGGGCCTGTGGCAGAAGCGTGCCCGGGGCTCAAGGAGCAGTGAGAGGGCCTGAGGCTGGGGCCATGAGCGGGGAGGGTAGCAGGAGAGTTCAGACGCAGTGAGGAGTCACATCCTGTAGCTCCGGCTGGCATGTGAAGAATTGTGGGAAGCCTTCGAGAGTCCTGGGCAGAGGAGTGGCATCTGGCCTGTGTCTGCACAGAATCACCTCAGTGGCTGCGTTAAGAACAGAATGAGGGCGGGAGCCAAGGACGAAGGCAGAGGCACCAGTAGGAGAGGTGCTCAAGGCGTGGACCGGGGAGCTAGCAAGGATGTGGCAAGAAGTCGCCAGATTCCAGATCCATTCTGAAGGCAGAGCCAACAAGGCTCGCTGATGAGTTAGACTCGGAATGTGAAAGAAGAAGCCAAGGACGGCTCCCAGGTTTTGGGCCCGAGCAACTGAGAGAGATGGGAGGAAGGCAGAGAAGTAGGAGGTGTGTGTGTGTGTGTGTGTGTATGTGTGTGTGTGTGTGTGTCGGGGGCTAGGATTGGCCCGGGAATCAGGAGAGGTAACTGTAACATGCCCAAAAGGCAGGTGCATCTATAGAAGACTGGCCTGGAAAGAACAAGCAAGAAGTCAGTAGGGAAGTGAGGCTAGAAGAGGAGACACCCCAGACGAGGCCAGAACTCTGCAGTCTGAGAGGAGGGAGGAGAGGAAGAGCAGACGGTGAGGCAGGATATTTTTTAGTCGAAGAAGTAACACATTTTCATGTTGACGAGAAAGATCCAGTGGAGAGGGAAAAGGAACCACGTAGGAGAGAAGTGTGGAGAGGTGAGCACCAGTTTTCTCGGAGACTTCACACTTGTGGGAAAGTGGGGTCTAGACAGGAGTGTGCCCACAGTCACAGAAGCAGTGTCTGGGCAAGAGGCAGGTGGCTGGTGTAAGGAGGAAGCAGATGGGGCAAAATCGTCGTCCATGTCACAGTAAAATGGAGCGAGAAATGGGAGAAATGGTCGGGAAGCATGTCAGGGCCCGTGTGAGAATAACGAGGGATTTCACATGAGACCACGCGTGTGCGTCCTCCAGCCACGTTCAGGCGCACCGGTGCCGGTGGGAACGGTGAGGAGGCGGGTTGTGCTTTATGCCAAGTGATTGCGAAGAAGCAAAGAGGGGGCAGAGGAGGGGAAGACACGTGTCAGAGTGCGATCACAGGGCTGTAGGCCCTGACCTTGCAGAGCACATTATAAATCAAAGTTAGAGGTTTTTTTAATGTGTCCTTGATTTATGTTACATCCCATATCCCAGGCCTAATTCCCCTTTCATTCATTCACCGTGAATATTATCCTTCCTGTAGTGATTCAGAACTGAGGAACACCAGGTCTTTGGCAGATGTGCCTACAAAAAGCTATCGTTGTTCACCTATTGGCGAGTGGGTTTTGGAGCCTGTGAGATCTGGGTTTTCATTTCAGCCCTAGAGCAAGCAAATCCGATGGCCTCGGACAAGTTTCTTTTTTCTTTTTTTTTTTTTTTAATATATTTTGATTTTTTACAGAGAGGAAGAGAGAGGGATAGATAGAAACATCGATGAGAGAGAAACATCGATCAGCCACCTCCTGCACACCCCCTACTGGGGATGTGCCCGCAACCAAGGTACATGCCTTTGACCGGAATCAAACCTGGGACCTTTCAGTCTGCAGGCTGATGCTCTAGCCACTGAGCCAAACTGGTTTCGGCATCGGACAAGTTTCTTAACCTCCGAGTTTCTTCATCTCCGCACATGCTAGGATACTTACCTCACAAGGTGCACATGAGAAACACAAAGCTCGCTGATGGGCACCCGTAGGCTTGTCAGTTGTTGTTATGTTTGAGCTCACATTTTAACAACTTCGGTCTGAGGTCCCAATGTGCCTTTCCACAGAAGACAGGGACAGAACATGCTGTGACACATGGTTCCTGCCCGTCTGGGCCCAATTTCTGCACTAACTCAGTGCAGGTGGCATGGCCTTCGGCGAATGAATCATTTGTTTTGTGCTGGTCTATCTGACAGTATTGTAACCATTCAATCTCTCCCTGAGGCTCAGCGGTACAGGGAGTGCAGGAGGCGGAGACAGCTCACAGCCCCGCCCCACAGCCAGCCGTACATGACACCGGGAGTCCTCGCACCCCCTGGTCTCCTGGTCACACCGCGTGGCCCTCCTGGCAGTCACATCCTGAAGAAAACACTGGAGACTGGGCTGGGCGTGGAGCGCTGAGTGGAGAAGAAAGAAACAAACCAGCCCAGTTTTATACCAAAAAAGTACACAAAGGCAGTGATTTTGACAAAAAGGTGTATCAGCAGCTCAATCACTGTTCAGGTGGCACAAAGGTGGGCCCGGGGTCCTCCTGCCAGGCCCTGGCCGCCCCAGCCTGCCCCCTCTCTCTCCTCCCTCAGAGGAGGAGTCCCTGCTGATGGCAGCTCAGGGCTTCTCCTCTCAGCCCTGCGAAGACTGGGCTGCCCCAAAGCTGACAGTGAGGAGGAGCTGGACCCAAAGTGACCTCCATAAATTTGGGAGATGAGACGGCAGGGAAAGGAAGCAAACCCAGCAAAGCATGCATGGAAGGGATGTTGTGTTTGGTTGTTGCCTTTTTTATTGTTATTTTTTTTAATTTTTTTATAGCTGGGTTTTTTATAAATCATTTCAAAATAGAGGATTGGGCCTGCACTCAGAGCCCAGCTACCGTTGTGAGTACTTGAAACACAGAGTTAAAAAAAAAAAGCTATTGCAATAATCATGGCCTGCATGTCTTTCTCCCACAAACAACCATAAACCTACTTTTGCTGACACCTGTACACTACATATAGGGTGTCCAAAAAATGTATGCATACTTTAACAGCAGATGGCTCCACTTTGAAGATGAAATGTATTTTAATCAACACTGCCTTTGTAATTATTCAGAGTGTGTGTATACATTTTGGGGAACAGTCTATATTTTCCCAAGCTTTCTTTCTTTTCTTTTTAAATATGTTTTTATTTATTTTTTCAGAGAGGAAGAGAGAGGGATAGAGAGTTAGAAACATCGATGAGAATCATCGATCAGCTGCCGCTTGCACACCCCCTACTGGGGATGTGCCCGCAACCAATGTACCTGCCCTTAACCAGAATCGAACCTGGGACCTTTCAGTCCGCAGGCCAACGCTGTATCCACTGAGCCAAACCAGTTTCGGCTTCCCAAGCTTTCTGGGCTGGTTCTGGTGAGCAGCCATGTTTGAAATCGCTGGTCTGACACAGGAACATCTGACACACCCGGGGGCTTCCGGGACACATCAGAGCTGCCTGCCCCCTCTCCCGCTCACTGACGCCACAGCTCCCAGTCCGTCACGTGTGAGACCGGCTGGCTGACCCCAAGGTTACGGAGGGGAAGGCCAAGTGCACAGCTGCTGGAGCCTCTTCCTTTGTTTCTTGCAGCCGTGCTGTTCCCTGCCGCCCATCGGCCGAAGCGATCGTCCTCAATGCCCTTGAACCCCGTCCTGCAGAGCTCCCTGGAGGAAGTAGAACTGCTCTACGAGGTAGGCAGTGGCGCAAGTGGCCACATCACCCCAAAGGCCTTGCAACTTTTCTGTGTGTTGGAGGAAGGACATGAGCCCCTGAAAATGAGTGCCCCTCCCACCCACCTTGGGGACTGGCCTAGACTCCCTTTCGAGGCCATCAAATCGTGGCCATCCCAGAGTAAGGTATTCCTCGTATCTCCCCTCCATTCCCGCGTGCCAAACAGGGAGTGATGGCATCGGGAGCTCACCGGAGACGAAATTAGTTTAAGCTGGGCCGCAGGGTGCCACTCCCAGCACCCTAGCAGCAGAGGCAATAGTCTCGAGCAAATGCCAGGAGGCAGGACTCATCACGGGGTTTAGGCAATGCCAAGCCGCTTGTCTGGCAGAACCCCGTCCCAGGTAACTGCCCACCGTGACAGCCCCGTTTCTGACCACCTGGGTACCCCAAAGGCTCTCTTCCTCCGCCCCTCATCTCCACCGCTCAGACCCACTTCTCCAAACCACGGCTCACTTTCCCAAGGCCTCTTGATCCGATTCGGCGATAAAATTCCAGGCTCAAGGTCTGAGCGTTAGTTCTGGTCCTGCCACTCATCAGCCATGTGACCTTGATCTCCTCAAATGTTAAATGAGGGATACAGTGATCTCCAAACCCACCCCCTTGCCTTGGCATCCTCTGGCATCCTCCATGTTCCAGAACTCTCCGGCTAAGAAAGAGACAGCTGCTGCAGCCAGGTCCTACCCCAGGGAACTCACTGAGAATGCATAGCTTCAGCGAGTCTTGGACATGGAGTCACAGCACAGGGCCCTTTGAGAAGACAGTAGCATGGAGAGGGACGGAGCGGGGGAAGCTGCAAGCAGACACAAGTTAGAACCCCGAGTCCAGGAGGTGTTTACTAGGTCCCGAGGCGAGCCCAGCGCTGAGCGAGGGATGCCTGTGGCAGGCCCCGCCCCCACGCATAAAGAACAGGTGAGAAGTGAGGACAAATCTCTGTATCCCACTTAATTCCTAGCACTGTTCTCTGTGTCCTTCAATCCCCCGCTTCTGATTTAAAGTTACCTAAAGTAATTCATGATTTAGAAGACCTTTGATGGGTGGGAGGGAGAGAGGAAAGAATGGGTCCATCTGAGACACCAGAAATAATAGTCATTCAATAGTGGCTTTGTGCCAGGGACAGTGTTTGTACCAGGCTGTCCATATTTGTATTATTTACTTCCCACAATAGCCCTATAAAAAAATTTTTAATATATTTTATTGATTTTTCTTTTTTTTATATATATATTTTATTGATTTTTCACAGAGAGGGATAGAAAGTTAGAAACATCGATGAGAGAGAATCATTGACCAGCTGCCTCTTGCACACCCCCCACTGGGGATGTGCCCGTAACCAAGGTACATGCCCTTGACCGGAATCGAACCCGGGACCTTTCAGTCCGCGAGCTGACGCTCTATCCACTGAACCAAATCGGTTTCGGCTCTGTAAAGTAAGTATTGTTGCTACTAACCGTTTCATAGAGGAGGAAAATGAGGCTCAGAGAAGCTCAGTAAGTCACCCAAGTGGGTGGGAAATGTCAGAACTGGAACCCAGGTCTCTTGGATTCCAAAGCTCTTTCCACGGCGGCCTCCCCACATGAAGGCGTGTGAGGATGGAAACAATCGTGTCCTCAGCAATGCCCAGACGCTTCATGTGTTTCCGTCCCTCATGTCTCTCCCCAGTTCCTGCTGGCCGAGCTGGAGATCAGCCCTGACCTGCAGATCTCCATCAAGGACGAGGAGCTCGCCTCTCTCAGGAAGGCCTCCGCCTTCCGCGCCGTCTGCAACGACGTGATCCCCAAGCGCATCCCGGACATCCGCCGGCTCAGCGCCAGCCTCGCCGGCCTCCCCGGCCTCCTTAAGAAAGAGGACTTTGAAAGGACAGCGCTGACCCTGGCCTACGCGGCCTACCGCACAGCCCTGTCCCGAGGGCATCAGAAGGACGTCTGGGCCCAGTCCCTCCTCAGCCTTTTCCAGGCCCTGAGGCAGGACCTGCTGCGGTCCTCAGGCTCCAGAGTGTCTGCCTGAGAGGCTGGCCCACCCCAGGACCTCGGAGCGGGGCCCAGCACACACAGTAATCCAGAAATTCTTCATTCTCCACTCCGTTTATAGGGACCAGCAACAAAACACATGCCGCCAGCTCAGAGTAGCAGAGATAAAATAATTATTCGGCCCCACGCTCTTGACCCGTGGTAGCTTCCTGACAGGCGCACCTGATTCGTGTCATGAGGTGACCTGGGCCGGAAGCAAGGGATGGAGTGGTCATTCAAGATGCCTGCAGAGTGCCTGGTGACATGTAGAGTCTAAGATCGCTTCCACACTGCGGGACTGCCACAAAGCCCCACAAGGGAGGACAGAGCTGGAGGAGACATCATAGAGGTTTGAGCATGGTGGGGAGACGGGGGACAGAGTTCTTTGGTCCTAAGAGATCGGGGCGCTGAGTTAAATGCACATTTTCCTGAAGGTTCTGTAGAAAGAAAGAACAAAGCTAGAGCGACAGGCGAATAAGAACTTTGTTAGCCAAGGATGGACTCTTCACTTTTTCTAAGAGTCGCCGAGAAGAGTGGGTTAGAAAACGGGTAACTGTCTGACCTGTATGTCTGGACTCTTCTTATCTGAGGGCTGGTCTACCACCAACAGGCATGCCTTGTCTTCTGAACAGAGAAGCCAAGCTAATGCAGAGAGTCATGCTAGCAAAGAGGGGGGCCCCCGATACTCTTTAAGTATCAGACTACTTAGCATCATAAGAGACTCGCTGCTTCAAATGCAACTGGTTTTCAGATGGCAGAATTTTACCCTTTCAAGGACAGTTTTTCATGTTAGCGATATTGACCTGATAGCTTCTGAAACTACGCAGATGGAATGCCTTAAGCCAGTGGTTGGCAAATTCATTCGTCAATAGAGCCAAATATCAACAGTACAACGATTGAAATTTCTTTTGAGAGCCAAATTTTTTAAACTTAAACTTCTTATGACACTTCTTCAAAATAGACTCGCCCAAGTCATGGTATTTTGTGGACGAGCCACACTGAGTCAAGGGACCAAAGAGCTGCATGTGGCTCTCGAGCCGCAGTTTGCCGACCACCGCCTTAAGCTTTTATTTAGTCGCTCTGAACCATCCAAAGGAAGGAGTTGGATAGCATAATCTCCAAGGTTCTCCGACTCCTGACATTTCCACAGTTGTTTATCTAACTGTGAGGTCTGCTGGACTACTGTGCCAGCCAGGCAGGTCCCAGGCATGGCTCGCTAGGTCTCGGGGTGAGTTCTGCTGCCTTCCTCGCTGACGGGCGAGAAGAGTGTGCTTTTCTCTGTGACCAACATTGCTTGCTTCTTGCATTTTGTTCTTTCTTAGCTCCCGTCACCTGAAAATCGGGGTGGCTGGGCTTGTTATAACGCTGCGTTAACTGAGAGTTCCCAGATGAAGGCTCTGCTGAGCGAGGCATCTGGGTTCCAGTAAAGAGTCCCCCCTCGCTCAGAGACCGCTCTGGCCTCCCCTAGCTTTGCAGCCTGGCCCTGGAGGCTGAAGTCCACGTACTGTGATCCTTGAATGAGGGAGGACTCTTTGGGCTAAATTTGATTTCAAAATTGAAATTTAACAATTGTCATCTGATGATCACAACAGCTGTCTGGACTTCTTTAAAAGCTTTGAACACGTGCGCTTTGCTAGCAGCCTGAGCTGCGTGATCTTTTTGGAGAAAAACCAGAATGCAGGAAGAAGGGGCCAGAGAAAAACGCAGCTTTGCATCCTGATGCTCTCAGATGCAGAAGACAATAACTCACGCTCCCTCCTTCTATCCTCTGATGGCACTGCTCATTTACCTCCCTCAAATGCACACTGATGAGAAATGCTTTTTTGCTCATTTTTCTTCTTCCTTATATTACCGGTTCTCTTTGACATGGTCGCTCTGCTGGACTCTTTTTAATTTTAGTTTGTGTCTCTGCAGCTCTCTCTTTGGGCTTGGTTCTGATTCTCTTTGCCCCCATTTCTTGAAGCCGCTCCAGGCGCCCCGGGGTTGACATTTACACGCTATCTCTGCCGCCCGCATCTACCCTGAGCGCCCTGCCCTGGCTTTCGGCCTCCTGTGGGTATCACTGCCTGATGAAAACAAAGATCAAAGTAGAGACAGGGGTGGGACTGCCCACAGGGCAGATCAACCTCACAATCTACCTTCACTGTACTTCTTGATGTGAGTTAGCAGAGGCCTCGGCCCCAGGCACTGTGCAATTACTACCCTTACAGCAGTCTTGCATCCCATGCTGGGACGCCATCCCATCAGAAGGGGGTCTGAGAGCTTTCAGTCACCAGCTGGACAGACCCACCAGTGGTCCCCTGGTTACCCTGTCATGCTATGTATGGCTGCTCCAAGTCAGGGGTCCGTGAGTGGGAGGATGATTCTCAGAGCAGAGAGAGCCATCTGTAGTGGTTCATTCACCCTACAACAAAGCAGTGAAGGCACTTCTGTACTCGTTAATCCGGGTCCATATTTGGGTGGCAATACAAGACCGAAAAAATAAATAAATAAATAGAAACAAGGAAAGCCTTAAAGACAAGTGAACATTTCATTTTCAGTAACCAGATACTTCAACACTATTTTAGTCTGAATACAAATTGTTTACCCACAGAACTATGACTTCATTTACATACAAAATCAAATGTAATGCTCATGACAGCCACCCCAAACCCTACCTCTCTGCCCCATGCACAAGAAAGCAAAAGACTGGACAGAAACAGAGCCTTCCATTCTGCCTTGTTCATGCCACACTGTACACACCACAGGCACAACCGAGTCACCATGTGCCCCATTTACTCATCAACGGGACAGTCTGGGGTGTGGTGTTTGTAGTGGAAATTTGAGGGTCTAGAAATTCTGGAAGTTTCCTCCGTGGTTGGCATCCTCATGGCTGCCTCTGGTGTCACTCAAGAGACTTTGGAAAATGTCTATGGGCTGTCATTGCTCTCTCCCCTCCTGTGGACTCCAGCCGAGAGAGAATCACGTAAGCGGTCAGTCAGAAGGTATTGCCACAGGTGAACTGGTCTAAGATCACATGCTTGTTAAATGACTTTACATGGCACCCCTTACTTTCCTAACCCATTTTGATGTCTTACTTTCCTTTATTATAGTAAAAAACAACAATACAAATTTATCACCCCAACCATTTTTAACTGTACGGAGATGTTAAAAGTTAACTATATGCACATTGTTCTGTGACAGATCTCTTGAACTTTTTCATCCTGGAAAAAAGCGATATCTATGGAACAGTAACACTCCCTTTCCTGTCCCCTAGCCCCTGGCCACTACTATCCATGTTCCATTTCTAAGAGTTTGACTACTTTCAATACCTCATAAAAGTGGTATTTGTCTTATATTTCTTAAGTGCTGTATTCTGGAAAATGCTTTCTGCAACTGAAAAGTGGCTAGACTTCTGAAGAACTACTGGTCTTACTGTGTCACTCACCTTACCTAATTTTATTTAACAAATATTCGCTAATGGTGTAATAAATAAGTCATGATGGAGTTATTAGGCTCAGTGGAATCTTTGTTATCTCAGATTATCTCTTTTAGTCTGAATACAAATTAATTGTTCCCCCCACAGATAATTTTATAACCATCACTCCATTGCATATGAAATTTGAACTGGTATGTGGGTTTAACAGCAACGTTGATTTCCACAGCTATTTATTATTATCCAGTCTCTTTAATATTTGCCACCAAACATCACACGTGTGGCACTGTCCATTCTGAGTTTCAAAATCATCACAAAAAAGGAAAGTTCAAAAGTGGTAAATACCGTAGTCTTTACCGGGCATTTAAAGAGATAAGCCATCACAGCCCATCCTGTAACAGAAAGATAATCTCTCAGGGACCTAGGCCATCCGCAGCCGCACCTGCCTTAGAAGTCAAGAAGAACTGGTTTTCTGGAGTCAGTTTTCCAGCCCCTTTAACTTTAGCCTGGGGACCATTTCCAACCGGTCCAGCTATTGATCTTGAGACGCCATTCCTTACATTCCATGATTTCACGAGAAGGTGGGTTGCACAACCCTGGACTCTGCTCAGTGTCTTCTCTGGTAAAAAGCATACGAGAAGGGCATTTGAGCACCTACTCAGGCCAGCAAGACCACTGACGTCTGGGCACCGAAGGCCTCTGAGGTGAGACGGGCATCTAGACTTTTCCAGATAGGCAGCTATCCTTCCAATTCTCTCTAGAAAGGTCTGGGCTTTCTTACAGTGACACCCTCTGCTGACCCGGGCACTTTATCAAACGCTCTGTGCCACCTGGGAAGTCTGGAAGGGTTCGTCCTGTGTACTCTGGGGCAAACGTCTCCAGAATTAATCATATATATATATATATATATATATATATATATATATTATTGATTTTGTACAGAGAGGAAGGGAGAGAGATAGAGAGTTAGAAACATCAATGAGAGAGAATCATCAATTAGCTGCCTCCCGCACACCCCCCACTGAGGATGCACCCGCAACCAAGGTACATGCCCTTGACTGGAATCGAACCCGGGACCTTTCAGTCCACAGGCCAACGCTCTATCCACTGAGCCAAACCGGTTTCGGCTAATCTTTTCTTTTCTCCCTGCCACCAGACACATCCTCCTCGGAAGGACTAGGCAGCAGTGGCCCTGCCAGGGCAAGGTCTGTGTCCCAGAGTCCCCTGCCTACGGCAAAGCAGAGATTGGGGAAGCGGGGTTAGGTTTCCAATGATGGTCATCACTCCAGCCCCTAGGATGTCTGAGAAACAAAAATAAGCTTTGCAAGTTGCCTAAGTTCTGCAGAATCAGCAGGCCCCTGCTGGGTCCAATCAAGCCGCGCTGATTGGCTGTGGGAATGGGCGGGGCTACTGCCTCTGTCCTGCTTCCTATAGGTGAGTGGAAGTTAAGGTGGGCCTCCAGCAAGATTTTGTCCTGTGACAACTAGGAATGTCTGGGGACTTTTTTTTTTTTTCCCCCTGCTCCAGAGGCCCCGGGCTCCAGGCAAATCATAAGTGGAAAGTCAATTTGAAGGAAAGAAAGTTGAACCCAGTGAAGGTGCCAGGTGCCAGGAAAGAAGCCAGCCCTATCTGAAGTCTGCATCCTCTGCTGACGAACTTGGGGGGCCTTGGTTTAAGGAAAGGGGGGGGGGGGTACTAGGGTTGGTTTGTTTTTTGAGGGAAGAAGGGATCCAGTGAAGGAGCACAGGTAGGAAGTGAAGCTGGCACTGCCCGAAAGAGGCCACAGAGGAAGACAATGATGGAGGGCATGATGTACTCTTGGTATCTTCAAATTTTTAAAGCCTTTCAATGACTTCTTCAAGGCCAACCAGCTACCAAAGAGGTGGGATTCTGATTGATTAAGGGGTCCTTTGCTGGCCCTGGCATGAAGTTACTCTATTACTGACCCAGCAGAGAGGGGACCCACTATGCCTCGGGATACCATCCCTTCCCGGTTCCTTTTGGCTGGTGAAACCATGCTCACCAACCCCACCTAAAACAGGGGCGAGGCGCCCAGCCTTCTGTGCCAGCCGGGGCTGTAACTGCCCTCCTGTTCTGCCCCACGCCGCCGCAGGACTCCGGGAGGCCGAGAGAGGCGTGAGGAGTCTTCTGGACACGCGAAGGCATCTATCTGGCCACCCAGCGGGCTCCGCTCAGGTCCGGGATGGGGCTGCTGAAGGGCCTTCTCGGGGCGAGGAAGCTGCTGCTGTCCATCCTGGTGCCGCTGCTGCTGCTGCCGCTGCCCATGCTCCACCCCAGCAGCGTGAGTATCCGGTCCACGGGGCCAGGCGGGGGTCAGGCAGGGGAGGCGGTGGAGGGGAGGGGGCGCCTAAGTATCTTCTCCTTGTTTTGTTGTTGGTTTGAAGAAATAGAAGTGTTTTCCTGGAGGAGGCTGAACTACTTTCTTCCTAAAAACTGCCATGCCCGGCCCCCTATCTCATTCCCAGTCCCCCTTCGCCGCACCCCAGAGGAGGGACAGCTGAGCGGGCTGATGTGCCACAAATCAGTGGCCTTCCTGACCCAGGGCGGCCCGTGTGCTGATAAGGACACCTCGCCCGGTGGCTGTCAGGACTTGCATGTGCCCATCCGTAGGGGAGAGCAGCTGGGATGCTGGACGGCCTTCCCTGGGGGACACTGAGGAGGGGATGGAGGGTGGGGGCAGGCTTTTGGTGGCGGGTCTCCAGCTCTGATAACCAGGATTGTCCATTTCATCTCCAAAGTTCCCTTTGAACTTTGAGTTGAAAGCAAAGCTCAGCATCTTGCCCTAGACCCCAGCCACCCCCTTTTCATTGTTTGCAACCTCTGTGTTGTCTTCTCTGTGTTCTTGAAGAAGAAATATCAAATAGCATGATAAAAAAATAAAAAAAAAACAAAAAAAAAAACACAAGTGCCCCCAACCCTAGACCATGACCTAGTTTTTGACCGTTTGTGAGAGCAGAAGAGCCACAGCTTTTTGGCTCTGCACTTGTCTTGCTTCTCAGACCATCGCTTGACTCCCTCCCTTCCTTGCCTTCTCCTCCTGCTCCCTCCTTTCCCTCTTCCTCTTCCTCCCTCTCTCCTCAGTGCCCCCCACACACACACACACCATATACCAATACCCCTGAGACTTTAAGGGAAACAGGCTGAGAGAGGTTAATCGTGTTTGTGGAAGGGAAGCGCGCCCTCCACACAGCTTCCTGAGTCACCAGGTAACCAAGATTAAGCTATGAAGTTCAATAGCGGGGATTAAGATGTTTCTTCTTAATAACAAACTGGCTTAAATCTTTAGTAGAATAAGGGCTCCAGAGTGCCAGGGAGACGCTGATTGAAAACGGGCTGGGATCAGCAGGCAGCGATGACTGCTGACAGCTCTCCTGGCCCAGTTCCCCTTTCTTTTCACGCTTGTTTACTCAACATTAAATGGGTTTAAGGGGCTGTTAACCAGAGACTCACTGCCCTCTTCTCCACAGCAGCATCAGGCGTCCCCTGTGTCCCCTGGAGTTAGCCCCATCCTTGGGGACCTCGCTGTAGGATGCAGTGTCCCCCACATTTCATCCTGAGACCTCGTCTTTGAGCTTCTTAGTTACCAATGACTAATAAGACGTTTCCACAAAAAGAAAAATAATAAATTATTGAAGTAGGCAAAATAAGCTACACATTTGAGGGAGAACAGGGTAGTGAGGGGAGAAAGGGAAGGACAGATGAGCTCTGCTCACTTTTTGCAGAGATGTTTTTAAAGCTGGACTTAGACTAATATAGACACGCCCTTTCTTGACTTGGCCCTTTTTTCAGACTGAGTTTCTCCTTTGGTTGGGACAGGGTTCTCAATAGCCACACTAGTGACATTGGGGGGGGAGAGGGGGGGAAGCTGTCCTGTGCATTGTACATTGATTAGCAGCATCCAATTAGGTGCCAATCACACATACTGTCCGCCCCCCCACTATGACATCCAATAGCGCTTCCAGATACTACCAAATATCCCCTGGGGGCAACATCACCCCCAGCTAAGGACCAGTGCATTAAGGAAATAGAAATGCGCTACCCCTGAGCTTCCCAGCCAGTTCACTGGTTAGAGGCGGGCAGATGTGTTGGCCCCACAGCCCCGGGTCAGCTAGATGGAGCCTGGTGGCTGATGCCCTGAGAGCGGAGGCCGGCGAAGATGACTCCTCTGTGTGTCACAGTGTCAACAGGGCCTGCTCTTCTTCCTCTACGATGACGGAAAGGCAGCTTGAGGTCGCCATCCTTCCTGCCTTGCACCCAATTTTTAGATTATGATATTTGGTCCTTCAGATTCCTAAATGGACTTGTTTGCTCGGGGCTGGAGCCAAGGGAAGTGGCCTGGATAGCAGCTCCTCGCCTGTGGTTCTGATGGTTCTTCAAAATGACAAGCTACATTTTAGGAAGAGTTAGAATGACCTCCCTTTTTCCTGTGCAGCTCTCTAAAGCCAGAGCCCAGACTCAGTTTACCATGTTACATAGCTAAGCCCTGCTTCGGGGGTGGAGGACGGATTAAAGTTACACCCAGCTCCCAAGGTAGATTTCAAAAAGGCCTCCCCATCACTGTGACAGCAAATACATAGACCACAAGCTCCTTCCAGTGAGGTCTGGATGGGATGTCCTGGGGTAGGAGATAACACTGCATGAAAAAAGAGCAAAGACAACCATGAGGCAGGTCCCAGGAAAGAAGCCGGCCCAGCAGAGGAAATGTCTGATATGCCACTTTGAACTCCCCACCCCCTCACCCCCCCCCATATTTGTAAACAGGAGCAAAAAAACCACAAATGACATCACTTTCCCTTAAAGACACAGCCTGAATACGTGCCATGCCCTACATACCTGCCGGCCAGTGGCGGTGATAATGGGCCTGGAATCCTCAGAACATTTTCTCTGGTCGATAACAGACAGCTGTTGGCCAACAGAGGGGCCCAATTCAGTTCAATCGACATTGAGTTATCCACCATTTACAGGCCAGATGTGGGGACACAGGACCTCTGTAATCAAACTTCACAGGGTATTTTTGGGGTGACCGTACTATTGAATTCTGAGGAGGCTGAGAAGGGGCAAAAGGAAGTCTATGTAAATTTCACGGGTGAACGAGTGAAGAATATATGGATAACCCTCTGAAAGTCCAGGTAGCAGTGATGGTACTTTATCCAGTTCTTTTTATTGATTGATTTTAGAGAGAGGAAAGGAGAGGAGTAGAAATATCGATGAGAATCATCGATTGGCTGCCTCCTGCATGCCCCCTACTGGGGATCAAGCCTGCAACCTGGGCATGTGCCTGACCTGGAATGGAACCACGACATCCTGGTTCATAGGTAGATGCTCAACCACTGAACCCCACCAGTCAGGCTTTCCTGTTCTTAATACTGCTGGGGGAAGGTGGCTCCAGTAACCTATTCTAATTCTTAACAACAGTTACAATCAAAACGTTTACCTTGGCTTACTCAAATTCTTCTCATTCAAAGCCAAATGGTGCCTGGCACAAGGAAAGTTTCTGTCTCTCATTTTCAGTCTGTCTGTCTCCCTGTCTCCCATTGCTGAACTTGTGGCCCTGACATGACCAGGACAAGAAAGACTGAAGGTTCTCAGGAAGGAATAAGCATTTCTCAGTGAGGATGGCCTATCCCCTTTATCTTCAACAGGAGTTCAGAGCGGCCATGCTGTCTCCTTCCCAGGAAAAGGACGGGAGCCAGTGGCCTTCAGTGGGCTAAAGGGCTTTCAACTCCTCTGGGTGGTTTTCTATCTCCAACAAAGGAGGTATTTCTCTAAATTGCATTCTTTTCCAAACGGAGCCTTTTTATTTTTCCACTGGTGGTTCTGTTGTCTTATCAGCACTTCCAAAAAATTTTAACTTCTCTGCGATCTTTTGGCCCCGGAGGAATTCTCAGTGGGAGCTACAGTCAACAATTGTTGGGATTAGTTCCCATTCCCCGAGCCCCAGCCCTGTAATGCTTGCATGTTAGGAGGGAGCAAGGGGCCATTCGGCCAAGCTGGGTTCATCTCTCCTGGGTTCACTGATCACGGCGACCTTTTGTAACTTTTGTGCGAAAGGGTGAAGACACTTGTTCTGAACCCAAAGGAGAAATAAACAGAACAAGATTTGTCAGGTTCCTTGATCACCAGCCAGCTTCAGGACAGGTCAGCTCTGAGCTCAGATGGTTTAGAACTAATTATAACTTGAGGAACCCACAGTCAGCTTGGATCTTTTACACAGCGGCCCCCCGAGTCCATTGTTAAGACCCTTGGACAGTGGCCTCTCCCAACAGTAAGCCAATGATCGTTAACCATTTCAGGAAGCCAGTATTACTGGAGGCCAAAATGAAGGAGGGCTATTTTTTTTTTTTTTAAGAATGTTGCATTAATTTATTCTTTGCAATCAGCAAAATGAGTGGGTGAGGGAGACGGATCCATTTCCAGGTCCTAGCACTCCTTATTTCCTTTCTCAAAAGAACGCTTCCTCCTGTGTCCAGCAGGTGGAATTGAGTCCCAGAGCAATGAGAACCGGACACTTCCCTCCTTTGCCTGCAAGGGGCACTTGGCAATGTGTTGAGACTTTTACATCTAGTGGGTGGAGGCCACGGATCCTGTTAAACATCGTACCATGCACAGGACAGCCCCCATGGCAGGAATTAGCTGGCCCCAAATGGGACAATGTCAGAGCTCTCATGTGAACCCATCACAGAGACTGATCCCTCTTTTCAGCTACCCCCAAGAACCTCTATGATCTGATCAACTTGACATCAAAATATCCTCCTGGGAGCTCCACCTTTACATACATGACCTCAGCCCTGAACACTGTGGTTGGTTTGGGTCCCAACCCCGCACAGCTTCAGGAACCGGCAGAGCTACAATGTCCTAGCAGCCCGAGAGCCACCCTCTTGGGGGCCAATGCACCCTGCCTGGCAGGCATCGATTCACCTCAGGAGCAGCCATTACTTCACACACCTGTGTTCAGGTCCCACACGTTTCCACCACACTCCCCTGCCAGGGCTGGGTCCCACTACCCACGTCTGAGTCTGAGTACCTGCTGCCTCTGCCCTGGGTCTCCTCTGGATTCTCAGTGCCAGTGGCTGTCCCTGTGACTCACCACCCACTTTCTTCCCCTTCCAGGAGGCTTCATGTGCGTACGTGCTGATCGTGACCGCTGTGTACTGGGTGTCTGAGGCCGTGCCTCTCGGAGCTGCAGCCCTGGTGCCTGCCTTTCTCTACCCGTTCTTTGGAGTCCTCCGATCCAGTGAGGTTAGTCCCCTTTCGTCCCAGCCCCCAGCTTGGGTCAATGCCAGGCCAGTGAAAGAGGGTTCAAGGTTAAGGAAGATGCACAAAGCACTTAAGGAAAAGGTTTTTCATCCTCCAGAACACCCCTTAGCACTAAGCCTTTGCACATACTGTTCTGGACCCTGTTCCTCTCCCTCCACCAGTTTCCTTCATCAAACTGCCCATTTAGTAGTTTGGGAGGGAACATGACTTTGCAAGAAGGAAAGGAAGATTGGCAGTGAAGGGTGAGGTGTTGTTATGCTGGGGTTGGAGACTGACAACACTAGCAGAGCTGGGGGCAAGTTTATTATTTGAGGTAAAAAAGCCTATGCTAGCTGAAACCACTTTGGCTCAATGGATAGAGCGTTGGCCTGAGGACTGAAGAGTCCCGGGTTCGATTACAGTCAAGGGCATGCACCTTGGTTGCAGCACATCCCCAGTAGTGGATGTGCAAGAGGCAGCTGATCGATGATTCTCTGTCATCGATGTTTCTAACTCTCTATCCCTCTCTCTTCCTTTCTGTAAAAAATCAAATATATATGGCCTATGCTATCTATATGACCAAGTGGCTTGGTGATATTTAGCAACTGGGCTACAGAGAGCAGTGTAGGCCAAATATAGTCTGTTTAATTGGACATCAAACTCAAACTCGGATTAGAAGACAAATGACAATAAGAGCAAGGACATGGGTTAGAGCTCTTAGTGAGTCAGTTAACCGAGCCACAGCCTCCGGCACACCCCTGCACCAGCCTGTGCCACACTCACTGGGAAAAGCTAGCCTGGCATCAGCGGGAGCTCCCTGTTCCAGAAAAAGCATCTACTTGTCACTCCCCAAACTCTCTGTGCCCAGCCCCCTGCCATGACTCAGACCACTCTTCCTCCTGAAAAGTTCTCTCTGATTCCCTTAACCTTTAAAATCCTACCCAAGCAGCCTCTTTGGTGAAGCCTCTCCAAAGACTGGCTAAAAGTGTTCTCTTCCCCTGGGGTCTATCTGATGTCTTTAGCCTTTAAATGGTGCATGAGATGCACCAACTTTCTGCAGACTTCTCTCTTCACCAAGATTCCCGCCCTCTCAGATGTATGATGTCTACTCCATGTGGGCGCTCAGTTAATGTTTCTTGATTGCAATGTTTCCTGATGGTGTTTCCATAGTGTGCTCTCCATATGAAGGCAGGCATGTGGGTAATAGGATCAGTGGGACTCTGGGACTGTGGCCTCGGCCCTCGTGTTACTCACTCAGCATTCAGAAAAGTATTTTCTGAGTTTTGTATCTACCATGAGCGATAAAGGATATTGAGGGCACCCTGAGGGTGACAAAAATGAAACGCTTCATTTCTGCTCTCTTCAGTCTCACAGATGAGCTTCTGAGCTTCCCGCTGTCAGCTCAATGTGTGCCTGAAGTGGCTCATTTGTAGGGTGACTTGTTGGTTGGCAGGAATTAAGAGTTTGTTATGTGCACAGCTTAGATTGCCTTCTGTCTATGAAACTCAGGTGCTGAAAAAAAGATATGAAATTATAGAAGTGACTCCAGACCTTAAGAGGTTTCTGTTCTAGCAGAGAGGAAGTATGAACCATGTGGAAAAACATGGAAGACCCTATGCAATAATGCTTCACTTGCCTAAACAGTTTGGCTCAGTGGATAGAACATCGACCTGTGGACTGAGGGGTCCTGGGTTCGATTCCGGTCAAGGGCATGTACCTTGGTTGTGGGCACATCCCCAGTGGGAGGTGTGTAGGAGGCAGCTGATCGATGTTTCCCTCTCATTGATGTTTCTAACTCTCTATCCCTCTCCCTTCCTCTCTGTAAAAAAATCAATAAAATATATATTTTTAAAAATAATGCCTTACTTTCCAACACTGCAGAAGGTTTGCATACTTCCCCAGGAAGGCATGTTGTAGATAAATGAAATTTACCCAGTCAAGTGCCCAGAGTTTATGTTGACCATTTTTTGATTGAAGTTTTTCTAAACAGCTTTATAATTTCCCTGGTCTTTTAATAAACAAAAGTTGTTGAACATAAATTCACTTTTTCTTTGGACCCTACACAATTTCCCTGGGAAAAAATGTCCCAGTCAGAGGAGCCAATATGGGCTGGACAATAGCACAGAATGCTGGTTGACCGGCAGAGCCTAGAGACTCTTGAGTAATGTCTTGGCAGCGGACTAGAGGGAGAGCCCAAGTGAGAATATAAAAGGCATGTTATTGGATTTGCAGATGACTCAGAGATGGATGGGCTAGCTACTGTATGGGGACAGAATCAATGTTGACAGACTAAGACAATGAGCTAAATCTGCCAAAATGAAATGTAATAAGGATGAATGTTAACTCTGCGTGTGAAAAAGACCCTTGGCTCTGGGTACAGTACAAACTCAGCATGCATCATCTACCAATACAATGCAGCTGACAGAATTCCTAGCATTTACCTTATGCCAGGCTCTATGGGAGGTCTTTTACATGCCTTCTATCATTTAGTCCTCTATAAAGTGGCCAATATTTTTATCTCCACTTTACAGAGCAGGAAACTGAAGTTCAGAGAGGTTAAGTAACTTGCTGGAGGCTACACAGCTAATAAATAGTAAAGCTTGAACCCAGGATTGAGTGATCCCAGAACGTGTGCTCTTAACCATTGGCGAAAATGTACTCAAATCTGCTGAATTGACCAACAGATGTGTCCAAAGCATCAGGTTCTGGATAGGAGCTCATTCAGAGGTAGCTAGCCAAGATACCAAAAATCCAGACGTGAGTCACATGAAGAATAAAGAAAACTCAAGAGGAGCATGATTTCTGGCTTCTTCAGCTCAACACACCAGCTCACGGGTCAAATCAGAACCTAACAACTAAAGCACGGAAGGGAGATCCCGCTGTGTGGGAGGGAAGCCTGAGAGAGGCTGCATGTGTAGTCCTGGTGTCCCTGTCCCTGGAAGTGCAGCCACATGACCATGTTAGGGATGTGAGAGGTAGACTTTGTGCCTTGGGAGAGGGTTGGACTCTAAGGACCCTTTGACTTTAGGGTTCTGCGATCTTGTGGGCATCTGGCCAATACTGCTCTCTACTGGTATACAGAGCTCGGACCTATATTTTAGATTTGCTTTTAGGTTTTGCTTTTGCCCCCAGCATGTGCCACTGCTGTCATTGTATCTGCTTCTAAAGTTCTCTAAGGCCTTCTAATGGGACAGTACCTGTGTCAATCAAGCTAGCTAAGATCTACAGTTTATAGGAGAAAGACATAGAGGAGGGGCGAAAGGGTCTCTGGTTTGAATAAACAGCCTGGTTTAAATGCTGGGTCTTGTGATAGTTGCCAGGATGCCCAGGGTCAGGAGTGATTGCTCTCTCTCCACCCTTCCCGAGTGTGTACAGACACACACACCCTCCACCGCCTCAGTGGCCCTTCATTGCAGGCCCCGCACAAGTCTTGTTCAGATTCCAGCTCCTGCCGGGTCAAGAGAAGCAGGTCCGGCTGGGCTAACAAAACAGCCGTAACAGCCAAGTGATGCCTGGGTCTGGTGTCATGAATCTGCTTCCCTGTTTGTTCTTGAACGTTCTGACCAATGCCTAGACTCCAGCTTTCTCTGTTTGTTTAAACCTGGGGCATTTGGTACACTAATCTCCACCCTGTTTTCTGGCCTCCGCTCACCATGGAGGCTGACCCTCCAGCATACAGGCCTGGGCAGATGTAGGCCCAGCATCTGGGCCCGGCCACCTGCCCAACTCCAGGCTGCCGGCCACCCACAGCCATCCGGACACAGCCCAGAGAGGAGCTCCACACCAGGCCTTAGCAGGGACTGGAAGCAGGAACATCTAGATCTCGTAGCCTTTGAGGCCAAGCTGATGTTTCTGTGGGAAAGAAGGAGCCAGTGCTTTGCCTCTGGGCACAGAGCCCAGCCCAGTTTCCTCCACTGGGGCAGCTCAGACAGCCCTGGGGGAACTGGGGGCTCTTTATGTCAGCAAGTCCAGCAATGCAGGAGCCGGGCCAACTTCGGGGCCAGGTCAGCACCCATCCGGGCTCTCTGCTTGAGCTTCTCTAGGGTACCATTTGCAAAAAATGTTGTTTTAAGCAACAAAATATTTTCTTTCATCCAATATCAGGAGACCCAATACATACAGGAATGGAAGAGAAAATCCTACTCAAATTAGGGAGGGGGACCCAGAGCCCAGGCTGCTAGGGCCCTTCCCACAGGCAGTGAGTGTGATTTAAAAGCCTCTGCCCTCAAATCAGGTGGCTTAGGTGGTGTTCACATACAGGTATCCAGTAGAGGCAGCATCTTGCCCCTGGGAGGGGCTGAGAGGCAGACATAAGGGACTTGGCTGCTCAGCTCAGGCACCAGCTGCAATGACGTGGTGGGGGCTCCCTCTCTCATGGGGAACCGTCAGGCATGGGGTTTACAGGATTTGGCTGCAAAATTGTTCAAAAAAAAAAAAAAAAAAAAAAAAACCCTCAAAATAGGTCCATTGCCAGAGGCCACTGCTGGACTCCTGAGGGGTTGTGACATGCCTGCCATTTGCAGAAGCCCACTGACAGCTGACTTGACAAGAGAGCCGGGGGCTGAGGCCGGCAGCAGGGTGCTGACTGGCTGGGATTCCCAGGGGACCCACCATGTCAGGCCCACACGCCCTGCTGGTCCCTGAGCAAGGAGCATGGCCACGTGGAAACGGCCTGGATCCACACCGGAAGTGAGGCAGAATGGAGTAGGAATCAGTGTGGGCACCGACTAGGCTTGAGCAAGTTGAATAACCTCTCTAAACTGCCATGTTCTCGTCTGAAAGCTGCCAATGACAGACAGGCCTACCTCCTGGGGAGGCCTGAGGATTGCACACTATTCTGAGTGTGAGTCTGAGGTTAACAGCCAGGTTTCTACTCTCCTCAAACTTCTAGCAATAGATCTGTAGCTCCCCTGCCCTCTTTATTTTTTAAATTTATCTTTGTTGTTGAATGTATTACAGATGTGCCCCTTGACCCTCTCCACCCTACATCCCCATACTCCTCCCAGGCCTTCTGTGTCCATGGGTTATGCACATATGCTTATAAGTTCCCTGGTTAATCTCTCCCCACTCACCCTCCCCCGCCTTCCCTCTGAGATTTATTAGTCTGTTCCATGCTTCTATGCCTCTGGATCTCTTTTGTTCATCAGTTTATTTGTTCATTAGATTCCACATATGAGTGAGATCATGTGATGCTTGTCATTCTCTGACTGGCTTATTTCACTTAATATAATATTCTCCAGGTTCCTCCATGCTGTTGTAAATGATAAGAGTTTCTTCTTTTTTATAGCTGCATAATATTCCATAGTGTAAATGTACCACAGCTTTTTTATCCATTCATCTACTGATGGGCACTTGGGCTGTTTCTGGATCTTAGCTATTGCAAATTGCACTGCTTTGAATGTAGGGGTGCATACGTTCATTCTGATTGGTGTTTGGGGTTTCTTAGGACATATTCCTAGAAGTGGGATCACTGGGTCAAATGGGAATTCCATATTTAATTTTTTGAGGAAACTCTATACTCTCCACCCCTTTTTTAAAAAAAAAAAACATTTTAAAAAATGTTTGAAAACCTATCTAGAGAGCAATACATAATTGTGTCCTAAGTGATGTTTTTAAAAGCTTGTCACTAACAGATGTCACCTGCAGTTCACTAATGATGAACTGGTTAGTTAAAGGACTACATTCAGCAGCATTTTTGTCCTTGTCCTCTGGATTCCAGCTGGGTCAGAAAGCTCTGGCGATGCACTTGCCCTCACTTAAGAAAATCTGGAGGAATTTTTGTCTTTTAGGTCCACCTGGCTCTTTATTTCACTTATTTCCCTCATTCCTTCAGCTGATCATGCTGGCTCCCCTGCTTCCTAACCCTCAATCTCATCTTGGAGCTTTTTCTTACTTCTTTAGTGATCACAATGACCATTTATTGAGCGCTTCCTCCATGCCAGGCACTGCCTAAGAGCCAGCCTGTGTGATCTTACTGGCGACCTATGTCATGATGGGTAAATGAGCCACTGATTATTAATCACGCTGAAGTTTGGAGTGACAGCCCTTTATCCAAGAGCATATAACTCGTCTAGACAATCAAGCAACCCCTAAAACCAAGCTGCCTGAAGTCCAGAACCCAAGCTCTAAATTGTTATATTCGGCTCGGCCTTTTCAAAGCAGCTTCCCTGAGCCAATCCAATCTAAAACTCAGTCCAGAAACACCTCTGCTCTCCAAATCCAGTGACTTGGCACACTGAGAAAAACCACAGAGCAGAAAAGGGCAATAAACCACCACTGAGAATGTCACAAACCCATCTATTCTACTCGTGGGAGGAGACTCATTTTAAAATCTTTCTTCTCCATGCAAATAATTCTAACAAGCTTCATCCTAGAGCCTCCCAACTCACAGAATGTTAATCTTGGAAGTTAGATAGTGGGGGGCAAGAATGCTTAGTGCAAATGTGAGCACCCAATACACTTTAGGAAATGATTAGCATAATCATTAAGAATCCTAGATAGAACTCCAGTGTTTATTGTAAAAGAAATTCAGTGGGCCAGACAGCAAACAAACACCACCAGTGGCTGGGATTTTAATTTATAAAAGCGAAAGGCAGTCCTGTGCCTGGGCCCACTCCACGTGCAAAGGCCTCACACCCGGCCAGCCTTTGTGTGGCCCACTAAGTCACAGGAATCCCGGTGGTCAATGCGGTGGCCATGTGCCATTTAGTCTTCACAACAGATTTACAAAAGGTAGGAGCTCACATAATCGTCATTTATTTCTAGATTTAAAAAAAAAAAAAAAAAAAAAAAAAAAAGGAAAAGGAAACTCAGAAATGTTGATGTCTTACCCAGAGCCTCACAGACCAGCCTGGCTGACTGCAGAGGCCCCACTCTTTACCACTTGACGGCATTACTCCCTAATCACAAACTACACCCAGAATCATCGCCCAAGCAGCTCAAGCGCTTCGCATCACTTACTAGGAAGCAGGGAGGGCCCTGGGCAGACCTGAGCCCGACAAACAAAACCAGAAAGCAGCAGAGAGCCAGCATCTTGCTTAAGCTGATCTGGGCCCAGGTATTTAGGGCCAGTGCCAGGACTTCCCTCCTTGGTACACAGAGGAGATTAAACACTGCTTCCACCACAAAGTCACCTCGTAGGTATCCTGGGAAGGGAAAGGAAGGGAAGGGTGCAGTGAGAAAGGTCCTGGGCCCCCAGCTCAGCAGTTACCCGCAGGCATCCCTGCCTGCTTCCACCTCCCACTAGGGGGCACTGTGTCCATCCCTGGGCCCAGCCCAGTGGCTTCCCCGTCTTTTGCAGCAGCCACCACCCCAGCGGAGCAGGGAGCCTTCTCCGCCCTCTGGGAGCGCAGGGACAGGGTTAGTGAAGCCTGGGGTTGAGGACAAGAACGAGTTTAACCAGAAGCAGAGGGCTCTTCCTCCAGGAAACGGTCACAGAGAGGGCAGATGCCGAGTCTCCTACACAAAACTCATCAACCAGACACAAGGACATCATGGGGACAAGCGGGAGAAGGGGAGGCAACTGCCTTTATTTTGACTTTTAAGTTATCAAAGTGTCCCATGTTGAGTTTAAAGCTCAAACAATACTGAAACATTCACAATGAAAAACCAGCAGTTTCCTTCCTCCACCCCTCCCCACTGCACCTTCCCCAAGCCCCACCTCCCCCTACACTGGGTCAATAACTTTTATTTTTATTTTTCTTAATGTATCTTTATTGTTGGAAGTATTATAGGTGTCCCCTTGGGTTAGTAACTTTTAAATTTGCTAACTTCTTCTCCTGGTATGAAGCTCCACATTCCTCTATGTATTCTGATTTTAATTCTTGAGTTAGCCCTATGATATTTTTTAAGATATATTTTTATTGATTTCAGAGAGAAGGGAGAGGGAGAAAGAGATAGAAACATCAATGATGAGAGAGAATCATTGATAGGCTGCTCCTGCATGCTCCTACTGAAAATTAAGCCTGTAACCCATGCATGTGCCCTTAACCCGAATCAAACCTGGGACCACAGGCTGATGCTCTGTCCACTGAGCCAAACCAGCTAGGGCATGTTATCCCTATGATATTATATAAGGTTAACAACTTAAGCATTTGTAGTAGGAAAAAAAAAAACCACCTAAATTAAATATTCAACATAAAGAAAATGGCCAAATAAATGTTATGGTACATTACGCTGCCATTAACATAAAAATTTTCCAATAAATTTAAATCTCATAAGAAAATGAGCAGGGTATGATGTAATAAAAAAAAAAAGAGAATATAAAATTGTACATATTGTATAAAGCCAATTATCCATCAATATAGACATTACAAAACTGAAGAACATACCAAAGTACCCTGTTTCCCCAAAAATAAGACAGTGTCTTATATTAATTTTTGCTCCCAAAGATGTGGTAGGTCTTATTTTCAGGGGGTGTCTTACTTTTCCATGCGCTAGGTCTTATTTTCAGAGGATGTCTTATTTTCGGGGAAACACGGTATTAACGGAGGTAGGCTTCAGGGTAATTTTATCTTTAAATTTCTATAGTTTTGTTTGTTTGATTTTTAATCTTCACCTGAGGACAGTTTTTCCATTGATTTCTAGAGAATGGGAGCAGGGGAGAGAGAGAGAGAAACATAGACATGCGAAAGACACATCAATTGGTTGCCTCCCACACACACCCCTAACGGGCCTGGGGAACTTGCAACCAAGGAATCGAACCTGGGACCCTTCGGTCCACAGGCCCACCCTCTAAACCACTGAACCAATCCAGCCAGGGCTAAATTTCTATACTTTGAAGTTTTCCATAATGGACATGTATTGATTTTCCAACAACAACCAAAAAAAAGCTAAAGAAAAAAAAATGGCAGTTAGGAACAAATCCAGGGTTATTTAACTAATTTTTAAAGATTAAGATAAAATTATAAGCATGATTATTTTTTGAAATCATATTTATAATGTTTTTCTATCTTTAAAAAGGTGAAGAAGAATATTGCCTTATGGGGTTATTGTCAGGTTTAATTAAATAATCTTTGTGAAGTTCTTAAGCTAGGGCCTGCCCAAAGCAGTATGTGTACATGTCTATATAAATTAAAAACAAAAAGTTAAATATATATAACAGTTAGTTACTGTAATAACCCTCCACTCCCTGCTTCTTGTTTGCCTGGTTGAGGATAAGGCTTGTCTGGCATGGCCGTGCTGGGGGGGGCGGGGAGGGCAGGCCATGTGGGAGGGGGCATGGAGGGGGGTGAACCCTGGGCAGGGCGGCGGTGACCTGCTGGCCCCCGCAGGTGGCGGCCGAGTACTTCAAGAACACCACGCTGCTGCTGGTGGGCGTCATCTGCGTGGCGGCGGCCGTGGAGAAGTGGAACCTGCACAAGCGCATTGCTCTGCGCATGGTCATGATGGCCGGGGCCAAGCCGGGCATGTAAGTGGCACTGGGGGCGGCCAGCGGAGTGGGCCACCAGGGCATGTCCACTTCCACTGGTGGGGATGGGCGGCCAGCAAGGCCAGGGGCTCCTGCCTCCCCTCCAACGGCAGGGCCTGGACCCATGGAAGGGGGACTTGAGTGTGTGACTCTGGGGTCCCTTACTGTCACCGTCTAAAGAATGGATCTGAGCAACCCGTTCTGCGAGGGCAGTGGGTTACAAAATGGAAAGGGCTCATGGGGTGAAACAGGACGGACTAACCTAAACTGGTTCCCAGCCTTTCTCAGGTTCATCAAGAAACAGGCTTCTCCTTTGTCATTAAGGAGATGTGATGGTCTCATTGACGAGGCCACACGTGTTGTCCTGTTGCATTAAACCACGTCTGCCACGCAAGGCCTGCCCTCGCAGCCTGCTCTGTTCTCTGTGCTTCCAGAGGCAGGGAGAGATCGCAGCCTTGGGAAACGTGCGGGAAAGTCAGGTTGACAGTCAGGATAACCTCATCCCGGCTCCACTGCACGGCTCTCTTGCTACATTTTATGTAAACTGCCCTGACTCCTTTGGGAGTCAAAGGACCCCTTTAGGGTCTAAACAAATAATTTGGTATTCGTTTCAGTGTTAGGCATTAGATTTTGCCTAAAAGGATGTTCCTGTCTCCCTCTTAACTGCAGCTTCCTTCAGCATAACTCGCCTCCTCCCACCATCAAGGGACTCTGAGGCCCTTTAAGACCGCTGTGTACTGTCTTCAGGAATTTATACCCCATCGAGTTCCCACTTGTCTCTATTTACCTCAGTCCCAGCAAGATGCCACCCCCTGTGGTGCTCTGCACTGGCATATCCAGGGCAGGCCAACAAAACACCATCAGGACCCTGGCCCACCCAGCACGAGTCCCCTGATGCAGGTGCGGTCCCAGGTGTGCAGTCAGTGGTTCCCTCTAGAGTAATAAACACGGTCATTACTTTATGCTGGCTTGTCTCATGGAAATGAGAACCATGTCTGCACAAACACAACTGCGTGTTTTCAAAGCCAACGAGAGATAACCAGAGAGCTATCTTTGTGTTTTCCTCCAAGTGCTGGCCCTGTCAGACACCAGCTGGGAGGTGCTTCCAGTGACATGGGCTCGTCTGTGACTGCAGCAGGCTGACAGTGGGACAGGATGGCGGGGCTGTAAGCTTTATGTGTTGGTCACTAACCGTGGTGACTTGGCTGCAAAGCAAGGCCTGTCATGGTGCTCATAGCACTGCTGGCTGCAAGGGCAAAAACAGAATTCCTTTCCACACGAAGAACATACTTCATCCCAAAATTAATACCCACAGAGAGAGGAGCAATTGGTAAGGCCATGCCCTCTGACCCCATGACCCAAGCTATCCTTTGCTTAAGTAAGGGCTTTTTTCCGGCTCAAGCTGCCAGCCCATGAAGTGTGACTCATTCATCATTCAACAAGTGTTTATCTACTGTTCACTCTGTGCTAAGCCCTGGGAGTGCAAAGCCAATGAAAGGCATAAAAACCCAATGTTTTGGATAAATTCCGGCCATGGTTCTCTAGGCCCACACCCTCGGGTCTGTCGGAGGCCCCCCAGGAGCCCTGGGAGACGGGCGGTTGGGGGTTGCCGTGCAGCTGACGCTCTGCCCGCCCCTCCCTGCTTTCCAGGCTGCTGCTCTGCTTCATGAGCTGCACCACTCTGCTCTCCATGTGGCTCTCCAACACGTCCACCACCGCCATGGTGATGCCCATTGTGGAGGCCGTCCTGCAGGAGCTGGTCAATGCCGAGGAGGACCAGCTCATGGCCAGCAACGCCGACACCGAGGAAGCCGAGCCCACCAGTACAGTTTGCTGGAGTCCCTCTGCCCTTTGCCCATCTGCCCTCCTCCTGAGATGCCAGCCGGTGCCCTCATCTGCTGCTTCCCTTTCCCTCCCTCCATCACATACCAGTCCTCGCAGCTTGAAGCTTCCCTGAGACCCTCCCCCAACTGCCAAGTCTTTATTCCTCCCCCACTGACCGCAGACACCACTGTTCCTTCCTCCCAACACTCAAAGGTCAGGACAAACTACAGATCCCACCACACCTTCAGGGGGTGAGGGCTCAATGCACCAGGCTCCAGCAGAAGCCCTTATGCCCTATTTCCCCGCTCAGCCCTGAGCCCCTGAGCCCTTCCTGCGGAGGCAGGGCCAGTCTCCCCATCTCATTCCCTGCTTTCCTTTGCTGCTGTAGATGTTGGTGTAAACAATAGCCAGCCTTCTCTGGAGCTCATCTTTGTCAATGAAGAGTGAGTATGACTGCCCGCCTCCCAGGCAGAGCCTCTCCAGGGCCATTCTGAGGTCAGGAAAGCGGGGACCTGCGCCCGTTCACAGCTCTTTCAGGTGTACAGGCCACGCTCACGCCTTGCCAGGCCACCACCTCCCCTTGCCCTGATTTCCTCTCCACACCTGGGAGCACCTTGCCAAGATCTTGAAGGCAACTTCCTTAGCACAGGGTATGGCAGTGATCGGGGAGAGATAAAAAGACAACACTAAATCCGAGGGGGTATATTGATGGTCTATATATCTACCACGTTGAATTTCTCTACATTGACGTCCCTCTTAGGAGAATAATATATTTAATCTATCAATGAGAAAATATTCACACAACAGATGTCACCGGACATTCTTAGAGAATCACAAAAATTTATAGATGTGGTGTCACTGGATTGGGTCTTGTTAGATATGGCAGAGAAAACCTAGGTGGAAGGTAAGGGGACTAGAGGACAGTGGTGAGAGCCACAGAATGATAAAAAGAAGGAACTAGAAAAAGCAGAAATAGTCTCAAACACTCATGGGAGTTCCATCTATCTATCAACAGCTGATTTCTTCTGGCGATTTGATGTCAAACTGTGGCCCTCAAGGTATTCCGTGATGAATATCACACTTTAAAAGCTGGATTTGCACTAGAGCTCAGGCTTGCATTGCTCTTTTCATAAAAAATGGAGAACTTACATTGAGTGAAATAGCGTATGGAATGGGGTAGACTCCCAACATCGCACATTGGGTTCTCCCCACCCCGAGCCTTGACCATATCTCAGGCAAAGCCCAGAGCTCCTCTGGTTCCCATCAGATATGAGAATGGCCTGGGTTTTCAGATGTTCAGCAATCTAGCCCAGACTCATCTGAAAACTTCCCCCCATCATCCAGCGCCTCTCCCCATCTCCTCTCAAGCTCACACCATCCCCTTCAGCCAGATCTGCAGAATCAGGGGTAAAAGCAACTGTCTCTCGTCCCCCAATTCACTCTGCTCTCTGGCTTCTCCAGGGAGCAGGAAAGAAAAGGGGCAAGCAGGTCTGGGCTGGAGGTGTCATAGGGGTGTCCCCTGGCCTGACAGTGGTGAGGTGCTCCCAGATAACCATTCATGCCCCCTTGGGTCTGAGTTCTGGTGGCTCACTCCCCACAGCTTTTTGTCCTGGGGTGGCCTCTGCTTTTTCTGGATGGTTCCAGCCCAGCTACCTTCCGTGTGTGCCCACCCCACCAAGACTGGTGAGCACTGAAAGCACAGGCTGGGGTCCTTCTCCTCACTCTGGCTCTGAGGCAGCACCCACTGACCTCTTGCCTTTGTTCTTTTCTAGACAAAAATTGTCCCCAAACTCCAAAGCAGAAGCTCAAGTTGTCCCTAGTACTCTGGTGTGAGGATGCTTCTCTCAGAACTCTAGTCTGAGGGCTCCTTGCCTGCCCTCACCCAATCTGGGAAGGAAGGAGAGGAAACCACACTCCTGGCAGGCTAACGACTCTCTCCAAAGAACACTTCCCTCTGAGCCTTCTCAGCTCCTATCCCTTCCCCAAATAGTCGGGATGAGCAATTACCACAGGACCCCGAGCCCTGCACGTGGGTTCAGCACCCCTCATTGTCATCACATGGGAGATATCAAAGCACCCATTGTTCTCAGAACTAAGACAAACCAGAAATATCCATTTAGTGCTCGTGTACGTCAGGAATGCTGACAGTTTGATTCTCACCTTCCTCTCAACTCGAGGCAAAGGTTGGGGACCAACAGGAACAGGTGTGTGAGACTCAGCATGTGCAGTGGACCAGCCACCGCTGAGGAGCAGGTGCCATCAGAAACTCCCCCATCTCCTTGCTCTCGCGTGCCTTTCACCATGTGCGGGGCAGGCCCTCCCTGTTCCCCACACCTCAGATAAGCACCCACAGGCTTCTCTTTCCTGATAGTGACCTCCAGTCAGGCAGAGACAAGCTCCTGCTTGCAAGCCTCTTACCACCTGCTGCCCTCAGGAAGTTAGAGACCTCTCTCTGCCTAGTTTCCTTCTCTGTAAATACAGGTAGCAATACAAGGACTAACAAAGTCCATATTGAGTACTCAGCACCAACCAGCACTCCAGTTAGCTATTAAGAATGTCAGTCTCATGTCTAAGAATGGGGAAAGCATCTCTGGAAGGTGAGGAAGACTAAGGTGAGATTAGACCTTCCCATAGAGGTGATGATAAGAGTCGGAGACCTGAGCATGAGTGGGAGTAACCAGATGAAGGGAGATCTGTGTGTGGGAAGAGTTCCCATCGCATGAAGGCTGGTCCATGCTGATCTCCCCACTGCCTTTGCTTTGTTCCAGCTCCTCGACTACAGACTTCACTTCTCTGAAGCAAAACAAGGTATGGCCTTGGGTTTCCTCTGTGCTTGATGATACCTGAAAGTCCCCCGAGATAACTCAGGGTCAGAGATGCCGGACAGCTCGTCCTAGAGCCCCACGGCCTCCCAGAATGAGAACAGAGGGGTGCTCCCCAACCTGGCTCCGAGCCCCAGCCCTGAGCGCTGGGCATAGACGCATACAGCACAGGTTAGCCTTGTTTCATGGGAACCCAATCGTCAGCCACCCAGGTTTTCAAGAGCCAAAGATTCATCTTTTGGATTTCTTTCAGGGGGATTCCATTTACAAAAATCTTATTACAAAAAAATGGGACATTTTTGTAATAAGATTTTTACAGCTCAGCCTCCTTCCCTCCCCCAGACCTGATTTTACATCTCATCTCACATCAGTTCCAACCGATGGACCCTGATCCATGCAAACTGTGGGCTTTGTTGTGGTACAGTGTTTTTCATTGTAACATGAGGATTCTTCATTAGCTTATGAAGTTCCAGAAAGCCACACCCTCCTGTAAGGCAGAGCTATATTCTGCCCAATTGCAAAAGCCTCTTCAAATGGGGTGCTTGACACCAGGCTGGTCGGAACCTGGGAGGGAGGCAGGCGCATTGGGTGGCGTTCACTGCGTGTTCTCCCTGGGATGCTAAATGGCACTTCTCCAGGCCCACCACAGGCTCCTCCTGACAGTGACATGGTCTCTGTCTCGACAGAACCTGAACGGTGCACCCACAATCACCAACCCCATGAAAACACCAAACCACCAAGACAAGCAGCACCCATCCCAGGTAATTAAGTTGCACCTCCTGACTCTGTTTACCTTATGAAATGCCTTGAGCTCCCCAAGGGGCACTGGTTGCGAGGGCGTCAAGCTAGCGAGATGTCCCTAGACCATCTTTCTCCACATCCCTGTCTGGCCTACGTGTGCCTTGGAGATAAAACATCTAACTCACTGGTTTTCCCTTGGTAGGAAAAGCCACTAGTCCCAACGTCTGGCCCCAGGAACCAGGAACTGAAGAGAAAGTACAAGTCCCACCACGACCAAATGATCTGCAAGTGCCTGTCTCTGAGCATATCTTACGCCGCGACCATTGGGGGCCTGACCACCATCATCGGCACCTCCACCAGCCTCATTTTCTTGGAGCACTTCAACAAGTAAGTCGTTCACTTCGTCAACCAATTTCTACTAACCGCCCACGTGTCGGGAATGTGACGAGGTGCTAAGGATACAGCAGAAAATGGGCTAGAACAGGGTCTGTAGCAAGAGGGAAAGAGATGACCAAGTCATGACAGCTGAATGTGACTGGAGAAGGGCAGGGTTCTGCTGGGAGAGCCCCGCTGGGGGAGGCACCCAGTCCCAGTGCCTCCCCAAAGAGGGGACGAGAAAAATCAGGGACCTGAAGCATCAGTTGGAGGGAACCAGATGAAGGGAGATTTTCCAGCCAAAGCAAACAGTGTGCAGGAGGGCTCAGAGCAAGAGAGCAAGCACATAAAAGAAAACGAAAGAGGGCAAAGGAGGCCAGGAAGGTGGACAGACGGACCACAAAGGACTTGGCAAGGCCCTCCTAGGAGCTGGACTTCATTCAAAAGGCCAGGAGAACCTTGAAGAATTTTAGGCTTGGAGTGAGGTGATGAGGTTTATAGTTGGAAAGCTCATTTTGGACTTTTTTGTTTAAAAAGGAGAGTGGGTTGGAAATGAGAAAGGCAGCAGGAAGTCAATGCGGAACGTGGCTGCTGATGCCCGGGAGAGAGCTGCTGGTGGCCTGGTTGACAGTTCGGTGGGGAGGTATTCAGAGGCAGACCTGACAGGCCTTGGTAGGATTAGAAAGAGCTTGAGAGGGGAAGGCCAGGTCTAATTGTCAGACTCGTGGCTTCAGCAGCTGGGGGAACAGAGTTGCCTTCGACCTAACTGAGGAAATGTTGATGTAGAAATGGAGATGTCCGGCTAGGAGACCCAGCTCTAAATCTCGGGAGAAATTGTGAGGCTAACGGCATAGATTTGGTTCGATGTTGGCACAGACTTACTGTGGCCTGCGCCACTGTCTCCGTGGTGTGCAGCCTGTGCCATCCCAGGGCCGCCCGTCTCAGAGGGGCCCCATGCTGGGCTTCATGCTCTGTTGGCACCACCTGGGAATCCTTAATAGTAACTGAATGAGGGGCCCCACGTTTGCATTTTGCACCGAGCCCCACAAATTACATAGTAGTCTGTCCTGGTGGTGCGCACGTGGAAATTGAAGCCAGGAGTGAAGGGGATTTCTCAGGAGAACACATACAGTAAGTGGAGCGAGGCACAAATATTAAGCTCAAGCATTCAGAGGAGACTACAAAAGGGAGAATAAAACAGTATCACACGGGAAAGAGGAAACTCTGGTGTCATTCTACCCGAAAGAAGGTGTTTCAAGGAGGAAGGAATGATCAAGCAAAATAAGGACAGAACTGTACCCATCTGATTTGGGGGCATGGAGGTTACTGGTGACCGAGGCAGGAGCTATTTGGTCAAGAGACTGGAAAAGAATCCCAGTTTCAGTGAGTGAAAGAGTAAGAGGAGGTGAGGAGACACGGAATCAGCTGTGAAGAGAGGAGAGCAATGGCATAATAAAGGAAGAGTGAAGTAGGACCAAGGAGGGGTTTTTAAGATGGAGACTTCTAAGTGCTGACAAGAGGATCCAAATAAGAGGAAAACTACAGGTTTGGGAGAGACGGGGCTAAACAGAGTGATGTCACTGGCAAAACTAGAAGGGGGATCCAGGGCAGACAAGAGGAGAAACACATCTGTGGTGGTTGTTTTTGTAATTGATTGCAGAAAGGAAGAGAGAGATAAAAACATCAATGATGAGAAGGAATCATTGATGGCCTGCCTCCTGCATGTTAGACTGAGCGTGCAACCCAGGCACGTGCCTTTGACTGGAATCGAACCTGGGACCCTTGTCGCTCTATCCACTGAGCCAAACCAGCTAGGACAAAACACATCTTTCATTTTAGCAGAAACGGGAAGAAAATGAGGAAGGAAAAAGGAAGGGGTGGAGGGAATACAGAGGAGAAAGGGCCAATGGAAGTTAAGACCTAATCCCCCGGATCTGAGCTTCATGAACCCCTCACACCCTATTACTCTGTCCAGGCTCTGAGTTTTTGCTCTTTAATTTCTGGTTCACTTTGTGGTTGGGCCAATTCATATTCCCTTAGTCTACTTCTTGGGTGGTAAATGGTAATATACATTTAGTCATAACAGTGGCTGACCTGGGCACTAGGGATTCTGTGAAAGGAAAGTGGATTCCCTGGGTCCCACTGGTCTGAAAGTGCCACTGTGTTCTCCTTGCATTGGTGAACAGATCACCACCAGAGTTCATTTTGGCTGTTTTAAAAACCTACAAATTAGTTGTTACACTCAGTATATGTATCCTCACTTTTAAAATGCTACAAATAGTATAGGCTCTTTTATTTCTCCACAAAAGTCTACTTAATCTGCTGTAAAAGTCTTTCCTGCCCTAGCTGGTTAGTTGGAGTGTCATCCTGTAGATCAAAAAGGTTGTGGGTTCGATTCCTGATCAGGAAACCTATGTAGGATGCAGGTTCAATCCCCAGTCAGGGTGTATATGGGGGGCAACCAATCTATGTTTCTCTCTCCCTGCCTCTCTCTCTAAAATCAAACATATCCTTTAGTGATATTTAAAAAATAAAATAAGTCCATTCCTTTTTCTGGGCCCAGGGGCAGGGCCTCAGCTTCTGTATATAGAGGAGAGATGATGCAGCAGACTTGTGCCATTAGCCCAGGGCAGTGAGTCACTGAATGATTTATGTCCCCAGGTATTCTTCTAGATCCAAAAGCCCTCTTCCCCACGTCCACTATCAGTGACCCACTCTGGTCTTTAGGGAGGGCACAAGCTGTCGTAACTTCATTAAGAGGCACACAGGTATTAGTAAGGTAGGTCCATGACCAAGCCACAGTGCCAAAGAGTAGATGTCCCTGTGATGACAGAGGAGATAAACATGCTTACATCCTGTGCTTCTATTTTATTCTCTGTGGGGAGCCTGCTCTTTCAGCGCCCAGCATGAAAACAGGGGCACAATCTGCTCCCTCCTTAGAGGAGCTCAATGCCCACCGCTAGCAAGAAGGCCCCAGGGTAAAGAAACACAGGCATTGCTAGGCTAAAGCAATATGGTCCATCTGGCTTCCCAGGAAACACCATCTGTGCTGGGGGCCACAGCTCTGCCATATGATCAATGAGGAGTCCTAAGCCACCTCCCTAGCATCCTAAGACAGCGGCAGATAAAGGGTTGATGACGGATTTGGAGAGTCCAAGTCTTGGTTCTCCACTGGGCCCAGGTAACACCTGAAACCTCCATGAGGCTCTGGAGTCCAAAGTTCTTCAGAATTGGTTCTCTGTATCAAAACTCCAAAAGCATGTTAGACTGCCCTCTCCATTCTCTGCAAACCAGATGCAAATCTTGAAAACCAGATGAGGAAATTTATCGGAATCTTTATGTCAATTAAGAGCAAACAACTCCTGAGTGATTCTCCTGAGTGCAAAGTATAAACACTTCAGTAATACCATTTTAGCTGTTTACTGCATAATCTCAGTTTACTTCATAACTCCTGGCTGGGCTCTAAACATTTGCAAGTGCCCAATAAGCGAAGTCATGTTTTACCCTATTGTTATCATCACCGCTACAGTAGCTCTGCTGTCTAGCTTCTGAAGGAGCACTTAGCTCATTACCCCTCCGAGATGCCACAAGGAAATCCATGGTTTCTAACCTGACGTGGTTCTTCCCCCTCCAGCCAGTATCCAGCCGCAGAGGTGGTCAACTTTGGCACCTGGTTCCTCTTCAGCTTCCCCATCTCCCTCATCATGCTGGTGGTCAGCTGGTTCTGGATGCACTGGCTCTTCCTGGGCTGCAAGTGAGTCCCAGGGCCCCTATCAGCGAGACAGGGTCGTTTCCCCCCCCCCCCCTCCATTCACCCAAGGTCACAGCACAACCCTGAGGGCACGAGCAAGAGGGAGCTGCTGAGGAGCCACAGAGAATGCCCCAGGAGAACACAGGGGAGTGGACAGCAAGCCAGGTATCGTCTGTCCTGGATGCTCCAACATACTTGAGCCCCACACTTCACTCTGAGCTCTACAACAGAATGTTCTTAATTACAACTAACTGGTTGGGGGAACTGTCATTTTAAAGAAAGTCTGAAATGAAGAATGTTTCATGTCATTTCTTTGCTCTCAAAGCATACAGAGTAATTTCAACTAACTTCTAAACAGGATAACTTAGTAGAAGTTGCCTTAGGCTTAATTTTGTAGACACAAGTGATTTATATGTAGTAGTTGTATGGAATATGCTCATTTCCCTCCAAATATCAAGTTGGGCATTTCTCTTGCAATGTTATTGCTAACATTAATCCACTCAGCAAGTCTTTTCTTCACAACCAGTAGTCAACTTCAAATACCCGCTTCACACACATAAAGGGGAGATGTATGGAGTTTTGCTATTAGCCTGTGGAATCCAATGCTCCCATTGGTCAGGGAATGCTCTCTGAGCTGACTTACTTATTACTCAGAGACTGCTGTCAAATCAATGATAACTGTATACTTCCATACCTTCAGCATTGCAAATAAAAAACCAACACTCACTTTCACCCAGAAAAGTCTTATCTCTAGACAGATACACACACACACACACACACACACACACACACATATCTGTGTGTAACACAAGTATATAAACATCTACACACAAATGCTCCATCACATTCTTAATTATGCAAAAGACGAGGATGTAGAAGCAACTGCATAAGCCTGTAAGACGTAACTTCAAGTTGATTACATACTAGATACATGACTTAAACGATGGGAAGAAGGCTAGGGAGAGCTGTGTAACTTGGCAAATGAAAGTCGTATGACAGGTGGGCTGGAGGGGCAGAGCATGTGAGTGAAGAGTGAGCAGAGCAAGCCAGTCTTTTAGTATTTGCTAAACACTTGATCTCCTGTGGGCAGAAGTGTGTTGCCTTTATTCTTTTGCTCATTCTCCCTTCTCAGTTTTAAAGAGACCTGCTCTCTGAGCAAGAAGAGTAAGACCAAAAGGGAAGAGCTGTCAGAGAAGAGGATCCGAGAGGAATATGAAAAGCTGGGAGCCATTAGGTAAGAATGGGCCATTCACCTCTCCTCCCGGAGAGAAAGCATGGCTGGGGAGGCCAGCACAGAAGCATCCTTGCTTCCGACATTCCTTTGAAGTGGGGAAGGTCCCCTCAACTATAAACCCAGGCATTTAGAGATGCTGCTTACTGCCAGAGTCTAGCTGGCTCAGATTCCAGGTGGCCGCCCTTCCCTTCACTATATCCCCAGTCTGATGTAAGGCCATGGTGAGGGGGTGGAGTTTCATGGGGCACCTGGAGGACAAAGAACAAGGCAAGACAGCACAGCCACCTCTTGGCTGAAATCTCTAAAGTCAGGACTCCCTGCATTGCCCAGACCACCGGGTCAGTGGGACTCCTGGGGAGCTGGGACTTGGTCCTGTATTTACAAAGCATTGGGCAGCATCAAATACAGACTCCAAGACAGAGTCCGAGAAATCACTCACCAACCCTCTGCCATTTATTTCCTTTGTTTTACATTTTAGCTATTTTAGAGCCATTTCTATCACCTTTCCTACAGTGACCTTTTATCGCAATTGGCATTTACAACTTTGGGTAAAAGGATTAAGGTTTAAGCTGTATTTTTGTTGTAGTTGTTGTTGTTAATCCTCACCCCAGGGCTTGGGATCAAACCTGCAACCCAAGTATGTGCCCTTGACTGGAAATCGAACCCATGATCCTTTGGTCTGTGGGCCAACACTCTTACCACTGAGCCACCAACCAGGGCAAAGCTGTATTTAAAAAAAACTTTATTTCTAAAAGGAATACATGTCCCCTGGCCAGTGTGGCTCAATGGATTAAGTATCCCGTGCACCAAGAATTGTTGGGTTTGATTCCTGGTTAGGGCATATGCCTGAGTTGCGGACTCAATCCCCAGTAGTCGGTGTGTAGGAGGCAGCTGATCCATGTTTCTCTATCCTCCATGTTTCTATCTTCTCTCCCTCTCCTTTCCTCTCTCTAAAAAATCAATGATAAAAAAAATATTTTAAAAAAAATTCCATTAAAACAATAAACAATAATAAAGGAAAACATTTCATTGTAGAACACTTAGAAAGTACAGGGAAATATAAAGAGAAAGTTAACACTGACTTGTATTCCCAGCATCCCAATGTTAACTGTTAACATAATAGAATGTTACTTCCTTGCTTTCTTTGTGCAAAATTCTATGTATTCTTGGTAAAATTCAGTCCTTACTGAAGTTTTATATTTAGCGTTAGATGGTCATTAATGTCGCCCGGACACTCATTCTGCTGTGGAAACTTCTTTATTAGATGCATCTCATTTTAACAGTATTCAGATCATGGAATATCACTAGTTGTTTCCTTTTTTAAAATGTTTTCAAATAGGTAATGTTTCAATGTGCATTTCTGGTTATTTTCTTAGCTAAAAAGAATGACGGAATTTAAAGCTCCTGAGATAATATGGTCATTTTGGCTCAAAAAAGTTGTGGCAATTCCTGCTCTGACCAGCAGAGTGTGCAGGCTTAGTTACCTTAGAAATGTGTGATGTGATAAACATGGTTAACATTTCCTGGGCTCATCTCAGCCCCCTTCCCGCTCCGCCCCGGAGAGTGCTGAGCAGTACCTGTGCTCCGTGCTTCCCGTGTGGAGCTCTGAACACAGGCGCATCACAAAGCAAGTGGCAGGGCTCGCAGGAACATGGTCACCCACGTCATGTTCCATTTCACAGCTACCCTGAAATGGTGACTGGATTTTTCTTCATCCTGATGACTGTGCTGTGGTTCACCCGGGAGCCTGGCTTTGTTCCTGGCTGGGATTCTTTCTTTGAAAAGTACGTGATACGGTCCCCTCCTTAAGAACGACCCCTCACACAAGCTCTTCAGGTAGTTTCCACTGCCCCTCCCCCGACTCTCAGGGACAGACACAGGCGTGAAGCTGGGAAGGCCTTTGTCCCAGTGGAAGTTCCTTTCAGGCAGCTGCAGCAGGCTGTGAGGAAGGAGGGATGTGATCTGAGTCACTTACCCAGCTGTGCGAACTTGGCCTTGTTATGAAAGCTCTTAGAACCTCCACTGTCACTAGGTTTTTATGAGAGTTAAAGGGGAAAATGGCCATACACTAAAGTTCTTTAGAGACAATGGCCAGGGAGTGGCTGAGGCCTGTGGAGGGAAAGGCAGACACAGGCTCCTGTCCCAGCCCTGCAACTTCCCCTGAGGGCCAGGGCCACAGGCCTCAACTCCCCCAACACAGGATCTTACTCGAGAAAAGACACGCATGGGAAGGTGACCATTACAGGAAAGAGGACCCATCCCCATCTAGTCTCCTTTATCCAAGCAGCTGCGTATCACTTGGGACTCGCCCCAACAGTGGGCGCATAAATTCTCACTAAGTCATCTACCCTCCCCAGGCCTTGCGCCTCCAGACACTAACCACTGCCATTAAATCCACTGCCGCACAGCCAGCACACTGGCAAGAAGGAAGGGTACTGTCCCGGTAGACTGCTACAAAGAGGCTTTGGGTTCAGAGAGGTTGTCCTGAGACCTGGTGCTGCCCGGGGGCACCCTCCCCTCCCCTCCCCTCCGGCTTGCTTGTCTCTTTGCCAGGAAAGGCTACCGCACTGACGCCACGGTCTCCATCTTCCTCGGCTTCCTCCTCTTCCTGATTCCAGCGAAGAAGCCTTGCTTTGGGAAAAAGAAGGATGGTGAGAGTTCCAGGGGAGACTTGGGGCTGGCTCTAATCAAATAATATCCAAGTCAGAATTTTCAGGAGCCTGACCCTTGCCCTCTGATTCAGCCCAAATGTAGCAGAGCAGCCTCCCAAACCATCCGATTCCTCAGTTCGGCCCCTTTCTCTACAAATCACACCCTTCCCAGTTCACTGGGCTCTCCCTCCCTGTCTGCCTGTGATCCAGGGGAGGACCGGGAGCCCTCGCTGCGGATGGAGCCCATCATCACGTGGAAGGACTTCCAGAAGACCATGCCCTGGGAGATTGTCATCCTGGTGGGAGGAGGCTATGCACTGGCTTCTGGCAGCAAGGTAGCTCTTCAGTTCTGTCCTTCTTAGGCCAGATATCTTTCCAGCTACTTTACCAATGGAATCAATATGGTTTTGGGTGGGAAGATTCTAAGGAGCTGAGGAAGAAGTGAATGTTCACCCAGTCACTGGGAAGGGACGCAGTACAGCCCGGAACTAATGTCCTGTCCTCGCTGAGCTTCTAAGCTAGCGCTCCTGGAACCAGTGTTACAGATCAACTGGGCCATGGAGTCATGGCACGCGGCATTCATACCTCATTGACGGGCCTGCGCTGTCACAAGCAAAAGGTGTACTGGATCCTGTAGCCATGACCTTCTGCGGATTTGACAGGGATGATAGGAGAGGTCTGTAAGGGCCCAGAGATGACCCCAGTGACACCCCTCAGATTGTCCCTCAGTCAGTCCATGTGCATATACTGAGCCCCTTTGGAGAACTGATGCTACAGCTGATGTAGATACCCCAACTTCCTGATCAAGAGGACTTGGGATGAGATCTTTTAAAGGGGGGATGATGAGAAAGAAGTAAATTAGGAAGTGTTGGCCCTTCCTAAAATGGAAAACAACCCTAAGAATGAATCGGGCTAAGGGTCACATCTTTTCTCCTTCCAGCCTCTCTGTACACGTTAACCCATCCTAAACTTGGCTCACTTATGACGGCCCATTCACTGTGGGCCACTGCTTTCTGCATCGTCAATAAGTCACAGTCCTACAATCGGAAGGAACCTTGGAGGACCCTGAGCCCCATCTCCCACCCAATGTGAGGTTTCCTCCCATGACACCCCTGGTTTGAACACCTCTGGTGACAGGGCAAGTCCTTGAGCAGGGAACAAAGAATATTTATCCTCTACTTTCATCTCAGGTTTTCTGAATGTCTTCTGCTGACGGCTCTGCCTCTGCTCTCTGGAAACCTCTCCTAGGTGATAATTACTAAATTAATATCTGCTAATCCCCTAGATCATTTGTTTTCCAACTAAGACTCCTTAGTCCCCTTAACTATTCCAACAGAAGTACTGACCCCTTACGATGCTGGTTTTCTTCTTGGGACTCATTAGTTTGCACTTGACTTTATTCAAACATGTTCCAGAGGTGGCGAGAATAACTCAATTATATTACCCAAGCCCTATCTCTCACGTCTGACCCAACCAACCATCCTGTATTTGTATGGGAGCTTTCACAAGGCTTCACTGGCTCTCCTGTCAACATTTATATTTACTAGTAGCCCACTGCCCAAAGTCTCTCCACGTCCAGAGGCCCACCCACGGCTGAGCATGGAACACTTGCCTCGTTTCCGGGGCAATGAGGCAAGCACCCACCCTTCCACCCTGCTGCTCCGTGCCCACTGCCCAGAGGCCCTCCACGGTGATGAGGCAAATGTCCCACACCAGCCGCACAGCCTGCTCTCAGCAGCCACCCCCTCCCCTCGGGACTGGGGGGACTCCAGCAGGACTGAAAGGACTGGGTGCCGCCATCTTGTGGCTATGGGCTCTGCCATATTTGTGACAGAGTGACAGTTAATTTGCATATTACCCTTTTATTAGATAGGATTGCAGTAAACTAAAACTCCTCATTCTTTTAATTATCAGCTACTATTAAGCCTTAAGTCTCCAATCAATGCTGTATATATATGCTGTCAATAGTTCTAATTCCAAATTCAGATGTCATACTTATCTTTATATAGAGTTTCAATTTTTAGTTTTGGCCACTGAGCCTATCCTGGCAAAATCTTTTTTTTTTTAACCAAAACTATGTGTGTATGACAGTTAGTAAATATTTCTGTAAAACTCTGACTCTACTAATTTAATAGTATCATTCAGGCACAATATATGTGATTGTTACTGAGTATGAAATAATTTCAGTCTTGACATTAGTGAGGAAAATACAGTATAAAATATTTTCATACCAAGGATTTAAACAAGACTTCCTTTGTTGTGTGTGTGTGTTTTGTTTTTTTTTTGTTTTTTTTTCCTAACTGCAGTCTAAATTGTCAGTTTATCTCAAATTATAGTGTAAAGTTCTGGAGGAAAATAAATGCCATCAAATTATTTCCCTTTACTTACAAGTGCTATTTGGATAACGTGAAAAGTAAAACTATTTCTTTATAAAAATGTATGATTTCCACTCAGCTAACTGCTCTTCTCCTATCTTTACCCAGAGAGCAGGGCTTAATGTGTTACAAAAGATAACAATTTCAGAGCTCCTGTGGGCCTCAAGGCTCTGTACCAACATGAAATGATTAGTCCCCACATGTTGGATTTGCAATACTCAGTCAGTTGAGGGAAAAAAATAAAGGAAAGTGCTCCAAAGTAAAAAAAAAAAAAATAATGGCTATAACAGAAGGAATTCTGAAGGCTCTAGTCATAAGGTGTCTATGAGCTTGCCATGAGGTGGCCAGGGTGCTGTGAAGATCAAATGAGCTTTCGTTGAACTTGGAGAAGAGGAGGAAAAGCAGCCTGCTGACAATAGAGAGAGGCTATCTTTAACTGAAAATGTGAAGAGGACTCACAGCTTGGGGAATCATAAAATGTCTTACCTTGCTTTCTGCCCTACTCCTCGTTGCTTTATTGCATTTACAGTCTCCAGGGTAAATAGGAAAAATCAGAGCATGGCAACCACAGAAGGGAGAAGAGGAAGGGAGGGCGGGAGATTGCACATGGCAACCTGCAGTTCTTAGTACAAAAATTAGACAGTGCTCTTCATTCTGGGAGGAAAGGGGGAGAGGCCTCACCATTGCCAAATGAACAGCTTCCAGCCCTAAGAATTATTCCAAATGGGAAAATGCATTTCCTGGAGAGGATATGTATAAATGTTGCTAATGGAAAAGGTGCAAGAGTGGCAATATGCTTTCATATCTGTGTCATCAAAAAGCACTGGCAGATCGTAGATCCTGATGTCAGCCTTGATGGGATTTGAACCCACAACAGGTTGCACTAAATGCCTATGCTTTCAGACCAGTGATGGGAGACTTGTAATCCCCTTTCCTTCATTACTCATGTAAAACGTCTAATGGCTCAGCTCTGCCCACTCACTCCCCCTCAAAATACAGGGAAGGTTACTATCTAAAGATATGCCTAATTTTTTCCCTTCCTCAGGTGATGAGAGAAATCTTTCAAAAGTAGAAGGATTACACTTGAGGGAGAGTGTCAGAGGTGAGAGAGTAATGAGTTTGAAGTTGAGGAGCTGATTGCCCCAAAGATCTTCAACCCCTGCCAAGCCATCTGGCAAAGTCCTAAGGATTATGGCAATCAGGGTGGGTGGCTCTCCATTCCTGTGACAGCAACTGCTAGGAAACCCTAAGACTAAATGTTGTACCATCATAAAAAAAGGATTTTCTGAGCTACAAAAATGTTCTAATCGTATAAAGGAGGAATGCCGCCAGGTCTGATCTGCCTGAAAAAGAGGAATTAGGTGACTCCTGTGGTTCCTCCAGCCCCTACCATCCCTGACCTGGAGTCCAGTTCCACTGGAAATGTGCTCTTCCTCCTTCTGACCCACAGAGCTCCGGCCTCTCCACATGGATTGGGCACCAGATGTTGTCCCTGAGCAGCCTCCCACCGTGGGCTGTCACCCTGCTGGCCTGCATCCTGGTGTCCATTGTCACAGAGTTTGTGAGCAACCCAGCCACCATCACCATCTTCCTGCCCATCCTGTGCAGCCTGGTGAGTGAGCAGAGCTCCCACATGTCTGAAGGCCTGGACCAGGGAGCAGCTTCCACGCTGTCCTCTTGCCTCTGGGCCTTTTCACAGCCTTCATCATTGGTGTTCAGACACTGTTTGAAAAATTGTTTCAAATAGCAACTGTTAAGTAAGTAGATAAATTAAAGCTATAGCGAAAAGTTCTAGAAACCCTTTCCCAAAAGAATAGGACTTGTTTAGGGGCAGCCCTGAATGGAAATGAGAATGAACAAAAGAACCTTATGAATCTACGATTCCAATTTCCCACAATCATCATCAATCAACCTTTCCTGAGATAGACCTAACTGCAGGTGCAGAGGAGGGACTACAGAAAATGGAGACAAAATGCTCCCAGTAGTACACTCAGTCGCAAGGACCAAGACCACAGCTCCACCATCACCTCCACCCAATTTCAGTGTCTGGAAGGTTCTGAGAATCAGGAGCCAGGCCAGCCTCATTCCACGACCTCAGAACACTTCGTTATTAATAGAACAGGGAGGGGAGCAGCTGTCAGGTCTTAGCCTGGCTAAGCAACCCCAGAGGTAATGCAGCAGACACAATCTGAAATGAGAGACCCTCCCTGCCCCCAAGGAAACAGAGTCCTCCTGCTCTTCCTAACCCCAAACTCTGCTCATTGTTCAGATGCCTCCCTCCAGCCCTGTCTTCCAGCATCCCATTAGTGTGAGCATGGAAATATACTTAGTTAAAACTTGTTAACACTGAGGGCCAGCCGACAGGTTCAAATCCATACCGAGCAAGCTTACCTAGAAAAAGGCCCCTTGGTTCTGTACCCTAAGGGTGAGGAATCTCGACTCCAATCAAAGCAGCTTATTCATGAGATGTGTGCTTGAAGAAATAATTTCTCAGCGAAAGAATAAAATTTAAAAACCACTTTCTTGGGCCAGCACCAAGATATAAAACATCCCTCCTAGGAGGAATTCAGAGCCCATGTTTCCATAGTGAGTGGGTAGCATGAGCACGTTTGGCTTGGTCAGCACTGCATGCCATTGAGAGCAGTGATTTAACCAACCCCAGTACAAGGTGTCCAGCCAAGGCTGGCCAGCACCAAGCCAACGTTGAAAGCACAGGAAATGCAAGTCAAATGTCACTGCTAATGCTTCTGTGAATTCTCTCTTCCTCTAGTCTGAAACGCTGCACATTAATCCGCTCTACACCCTGATCCCAGTCACCATGTGCATCTCCTTCGCAGTGATGCTGCCTGTGGGCAACCCCCCCAACGCCATCGTCTTCAGCTACGGCCACTGCCAGATCAAAGACATGGTGAGTCACGGGTGCCTCTTCCTGCCAGGCCCAGCTGCCAGGACGGGAATGACTGGCTCCACAGCCTCTTCTCCTAAGATTTATTATTTTGCAGCAGTTGTCCTTGGACTGTTAACACTTAATCTAGAGTGACAGGAAGAATGGTACTGGTGAAAGGTTTGGGGTTGGTCTATAGGCACCAAGAAAAGCTCTACTGTGCTCTCCCTCGCCCTTATCTGGGAGAAAGTGGGGATGTGGACAGAGAGAGCTGGGACAGACACAGGACATGTCCCAGTTCTAGAAGGCGTGAGCTTGCAGTCTTTGCTCCAGTTTCTTCATTGGACTAGTGGGATAGTCATTCAAACAGCTGGTTTATTCCTAGGAGTGAAGTCTGGGTAACTGCATGAACTGAAGGTAAAAGGTATTTTGAGAACAGGTTCCTTTTGTTGAACACTCCCCCAGACAGGAAACTTCTGGAGCAATGTAACCAAATGAAGCATCCACAGCTCATTTCTTAGTTTTCAGCTGGGCTTACAAACACAGCTGTGAGGGGACATCCTGCTGCTGATTTAGTGTTAGCATATCCACCTTCCACTCCTCAATCTGGACTCACTGCTGTGTTGTCAATATTCAGGGCTGATGGGGGCTGGGACAGGATGAAAAAAAAATTAATACAGATGACTGGGGCCTGACTGTCTGAAATAGGGTCGTCACCCTTGTTGAGAGCCTCAAAAATTAGAGTCCAAACTCATTCTCGGCAGCCTGTAAGTATCACAGGGAAGAAAAAGAGAGTGAGCTTCAAGCTGGTGACAGATATATGTTCAAACTGCTCACCTGGGTCATCTGTGATACTTCAGGGAAGGGAGGTCCTGGCCACTCCTCTCCCCATCTTACTGCACAACTCTCACTCTCATCCCGAGTGCTGCCCCAACTCTGTACCCCTCACCGTACACCACAGCCTGTTACCCTGGAATCAAATGATCAGAGGCAGTACTTTTCAAAAACACCTGAAGACAAGTGAGCCAGTCTTGGGTTCTATTCTCAGCTGGGGCACTGATTTGAAACTTCAATGTCCTTACTTGCTAAGTGAGGAGGTTCAGACTAGATGCTCTATGTGATCTGAATTTAGCTCCTTTATAACCTGCCCCACACTCACCTGCTAGGAAGCATGGGCAGTTCTCCACCCCAACAGGCCTAGGGGGCCAGAATGACTAATTCATCCAGGGCTTGCCCCAGAAAGCAAAGAGGGGCATATCTACTCATTTGCTTGGAACAATTTCCTAGGATTCATTCCCAACTCAGTGGGCTTGTTGTGGCTACACCCAGTGTGCTTGGTTACACCCCGGTGGAGTGCCAGCTAGCCTTACTGTACACTTTTCCATCTGGCCTGGCTGTGCCATCCATTATGCCTCACATCCCCCTCACCAGGGAGTGTCAAGGCCGTGGCAGAAATGGAAGGGGTCAGAGTCATTGGAGTGACATTCCCTCAGAACAGTGTTTCCCAAACTTTTGACATATGTGTACCCCTTCTATAATTTTCGTAACGCTGAGTACCCCTCGTACTCATGAGAACGTAGAATTAGGCGCAGCTAAGCACGGTACAGTGCATATCCCCATCAAACTCTGGTGCAACGCCTACCCCCACCAAACTCTTCCCGTACCCCTGGGGGTACACCTACCACATTTTGGGAAACACTGCCTCAGAAGAAAGCAAAGCTAGCATGTCATGTCACTTTCCCATGGAAGGACTGAGCAGAGGTAGCTGACTCATTCCCCAGGATAAACCCAAAGTATACGACTTCCATGAGCTGTCCCTTGAGAAAAATAAAAAAGGGGAACAGTGGCAAAGGCTCCATGGAACACAGTCCCTCCTACAAGTTCCCCATACTGGTTGGCACTTGAAAGGCTCTGAGAAGTTCCTGCTTTGCAGAGACCTGGGTACTTCTGTTTAACACATTTCCCTATCATGTGTTAGGACCTCTTTTTACTGTAACTCTTAATGTTCAAATCTCTGGTGTCGAGTACACACTTTCAGGCCTCCTCTTTGACAGTGAGAGTTACAAGTGGAGCAGATTCTAACAGGCCTCAGATTCTTCCAGTGGCTCCCCACTCCTATACCACCCCTAGCCCTACCCCTACCCCCCACCCCCGGTTTCCTGTCCTTTTACAGTCCTGTGCCACCTACAGGCACTAACAAGGCAACACCAGAGCACCAGGCAGTGCAGGGAACAAAGCAGGGTCAAGCGAGTGGGCTGTGATCGATGGTGGCAGGGCAAGGCTTAGGCGGGGGCACAGATGGGGAGCACTCAGGGTTCTGTGCCACTGCCTACTCAAGAGTGACCAGGGTGTGCTGGTTTGTGTCCTATAGGTGAAAGCTGGCCTGGGGGTCAATGTCATTGGCCTGGTGATAGTGACGGTGGCGATCAACACATGGGGAATTAGCCTCTTCAACCTGGACACTTTTCCAGCCTGGGCTATGGCCAGTAACATCACTGATCGGACCTAACGCAAGTGAGCTCACAGCCCAACCAGAGGCGCTGCAGCACTTAGCAGAATCTGACCAACAAACAGGCCAAGCAAAATGCCAGGAGCACAGCACCCCCACCAGAAGAGTCCGCCATTTCCCACCTCAAGAGCGGTTCAGGACGCCTCGCACCCGAGCCCGAGAAAACCCACCACTTTCTCACTTGTTTGTAGTTAGTCTCTGCAATCGATCTCTGTGGGAGACAGGAAGAGGCGAAAGCCTGCCCCAGCTGCCCCTCAGAGGCCAGGCCCCACACACTGACGAGCCTCACAAGTTTGATGTTGTTCTTATTCCCTTTTTAGGAGTTGAAGGAGAAATCCAAATCTCTTGCCCTTGCACAGCAGAACCAGTGGCACCTCTTTCGTAGGAAAATCTCGCCTAGAACTTGAGACCTTACATCAGCTTCTTTAAGAGTTTCTGTCCCAAGTTCTCCACAAAAAGGCAATTCTTAGTGAGCCCTCTTTGTGGCAGTCAGAACTCTTATCACTGCTCTGATTCCATTTTAAGCATCTCTCTTCAACGGCTTATCTTTACTTTGGCACCAAATTCCTATAAAGTAACAGTGTTCCCCTTTCCATAAAGGCTGGTGCTGTTCTCTGTGTCAATGGAAAAGGAAGCAGAGAAAGAAGACACACTGCGATTAGCATCTCTCTTCACTCATCTCGAGCCATCAGTACCACTGTGCTGGTTAAAGTGTTGGGAAGGAGGAAAATTCTCATACCTATCTTATTAAGTAGGACAAAACTATAATTACGTTTACAGCACTGTTAATGATATCTGACTGGCTTTCTTCTGGATGTAATGAGTAGTTCATTCCTGAGAAGACAGGCCCAGAAAGGCCCAAAGCCATTAGTCACTTTCTATTATACAAGTAGATGAGCCCTTTGAGGGGAGAGATGTCACATGACTCTGAAAATCCCAGCTACTTATACTACCTAGTACTGACACTGCTTAATAAATGTTTCCCTTGAGAAAAATCACTTTGAGTCAAAGCCTCCTTCTTCCTCCTGAAAACCAAGCCATTTTCTCCAGGACAGATGTCCTTGCTGTCTGATAGGACTCTCCATTTCCTGACATTATGTATTTCTAATTTCTACCACCAGTTACTTGCTACATATATCTTATGGGAAAGGCTCCCCTACAGATACTGTTTTAATTGATTTTAAGTTCCTATTATCAGCATGTGCCATTTTTCTGCAACAATAGTTTATCAATGAAGGCACTACCTTGGTTTATCAGGTATCTGTGAATTGTCAAATTTCTTTCATGCCATGCAACACTGTCACACTCTGACCACGGCATATGACTGACCAGGTTTACAAGGAGTATTATTGCTCTGCCCTGTCAATGAGGTTACACCAAATTATTTGGCTACTTTAAAAAGTGACTGACCTAATGAGTCCAAATAAAATACCAGTATAAGGTAACGACAGCTGGTTGGATAGAACCAGCACCTCTAGTTATTTTGCTTTAAATGTCGGAAGAGTCGGTGTTACTCCTACTATCAAGAGTACCATCAAATGTCTGACCCATTACAGAACTGAGACAGTAAGACAAAGTGCAGACCGCCGAGGAGACTCTAGGAGTATAAATAACTACAAAGAGAAAGAGAAGTTGACTTAGATTTACTGGCCACTGTTCAAGAACCCGACTCACTCCTACAGGAAAAGCTGTGCAACTCCCCACCGCAGTTGCTGCCAATTGATCTGAGGAGCTCAGGCACTCAATCCAGCCGGTTTAGGCAGAGCGTTTATTTCAGTGTGGTCTACTGACTTCTACAGAACAGCACTGTTCTCTCCCCAAACCAAAGGTTCAGGCCAAACAAGATAGCTCATCGCAGTGACAGGAAATGTTGAATCTAACTAACAATTCCTTGTCATCTAAAACCACTCCACATTGGACATTAACTAGTAGATCTCCTTAGTCTTGTGTCTCTTGCAAATGTATTTAATTTGATTATTTCCTATCACAACAATATATCGATGGAAAGTTGTAAATGATCATCTTCTACCAGCTTGACACATGGCAGTGAGTAGAGTTGCATCTTATTCTCAAGTCAATCAAATCTGTTTAGTGAAAGTTGCCTTTGAAATTCCTTTAAGTCGCCCATGAACACAATGTTTTACCTTATATCTATCTACATGGCACAAACACTCATGTGCCCTTTTTTTAAAAACTGATTTGAGAAAGGAAACATTGATCGGTTGCCTCCTGCACATGCCTCAAATGGGGATCGAACCCACCACCTTTCGGTACACAGGACAACACACCAACCAACTGAGCTATCCCAGCCAGGGCTCATGTGCCATCTTTTGATAAATAAAATACAGCTAGTTTTTCCTCCAAAATCAGACTAGATCCCTGTTTCTTTAGCTGAATACCAGATAAAGTAGTTGGCTTCATATTTGGGGCCCATGTTTGAAAAAGTGTATCTAAGCACTAGAATCCCAGTACGGCAAGATGTCCAAACCACTAAAACACCGAGGGGATGAAGACCACCCACGTTCCCAGGTAGCTCATCCTGGGGCTACCCTCACCAAACAAATGCTAAGCACAAGTGCCTGCACTATTTACATGGCACCTCTCTCGTCTCAATACCGTGCAACTGTACATGTCAGAATGACACCCACACGGCCCCTTTCCTCAGGCCTCACCAGATGCCATGAGAAAGCAGGCCCTGGACTCGGGGTTGGCAGTGCCCCACCCCAATGCACTTTCCACAGAACCTGTTTGTTCTTTTGTTTCCATTTGCCTTGCAAAACATGCCATCCAATGAGGTCTTCAATGTAGGACTACATATGTTGCACCCAGCTTTAGAAGAGGTATACACTGAGCATTTGAGCATCTAAATGTCACTAACTCCCCTATTAAGACCAGGCAACGTCTCAAAATATTTTCCCTTCACCGCCCTGTTCCTTTCCACAACGCCCTAGTAGTTAGTAGGGAAAAAAGAACTCATTCATCTGCGTAAGGAATGGAAATGCTATGTGCAAAGTCCAAGACAGGAAGTATAAGAGAAGCCTAATTTGCTCCAGTACAGTATACAGTGTTCCTTCGGGAGGAGTGACAGAAACAGCATTGAAATGTGGGAGACCTTAGCAGAAAAACAAACCCTGGCAGTGTCTATGGAGTGAGCTGCTTAGTGGAAATGAAAACACCATGCATGTGTACATATGCTCTATGAACCCGTACATACAGACAACCAGAAAGAAAAAAAAAACAGAAAGAAAAAACACTTTATAGTCACAAAAATGAGTTTAAAAATAGAAACAAAATTCTTATTTAAATCAGAAGCAGGTACCTGCTTAATTGCATAAAGTACCATCAGAAGAAAAGTCTATTAAGACATCAAGTAACTAAAATACATAAAATAAACTACAGACTCTTTTGATGATTTTCAATAAAGTGGTTTTGGTTTTTTTCTCTCTTTGCTTGTTTGGGAGTGTTACCATTTAAGGATAAGCTTTTCAATTTCAATCTATTTATTAGGTTCCCAACATCAATCCTGAAGTATTATTTTTCACATGTGAGTAACCTTCCTTTTACGGCCCAGGATGGCAATACATTTTCTTAAATCACATCAACAGAAGTTTTCGTACATTTTTAAAGGAAAAAGGGCATGTGGTGCACTGATTCTTCCATCCCTCCTTTAGGGAACGTAACTTCCTGTGCCACGACCACAACCACTGCCACCCCATCCACAAATGCACCCGAAAGTCCGTGCTGGTTTGGACTCCTCCTCTGTGAGACAGAGGGAAGATGATCTTGCCTGAGAACTCTGAGCCCCTTTCCACTGTGGCAAGACATTAACACAAGGAGAGGGTATGTGACCAGTGTCTGCTAAGGTGGCCTGTTCACTGGGCAGCAGCTGGATGGCTCTCACGGGTAGAAATGATCCCATGAGGGGGTTATCCTAATTCCAGAGGAGCTTTGTAACAAGCTCCTCAAACAGAGAGACCTTCTCCTAACATCTAAGTGACCTCCTGCCCCAAAGAAACCACTCTGGGAGACACACACAAATAACAGTGCTACCATGACTGATAACAAGGGACCCCTAAGCTTGTAGCACTATGAATACCCTCAGAGTAGTAGACTTTTATCCTTAAGGCTTTAATTCATTCTGCCAACAGTTCAGTCATTTGAGATAAAAATCTGGGAAGCCAGGTGGTACGATCAAGGTGGATATTGTAGAGTTGCAATAACAACCAAGGGCGTGACCAAAGAATAATGACAAATTTTGCATGGTTCATAATCTGGTTCCAAAAGTGACTGACTGCAAAGAAACGAAAGTATTCGAAGCAAAAGCAGTATGTTTGGACTAAGGTCTGCTATTTATTGGGCAAATCTGCAAAGCCCTACGCATCACATACATTGCAATTGTTTCTCTTAGAAGCCCTATGAGGTAGGTATTATGTCCAGATCTTACAGAAAATACAACAGTTTCCGACAAATAAGGTGTTTGCCCATGATCACACTGCTAGGGAGAGAAGCCAAACCATAATGTGATCCTAATCTGTCTCACACAGCAGAATGAACTGATGGATAAAACTTATCTCCATGTATAAGAGACACTTAGTCTCAAAGAGAAGCAGAATCACTTCATTTTATAATCACATGTAGTATCGGTGCCATCGCTGTCTGAAAAAAGGTGTCTCTAAGTAATCTTGCAATTTACTGATTCTGCTAAAATGTCCTCAAACGTGGCATTATCAGTGAAGCTGCCCAACAAGCAAAACACACAATGAAGTGGGACTTTACCTATATTTAGTGCAAATTACAGTTTTAGCACGTTAGCTTATGGCTATTCCCTGCATTGATATGTATGATAACATCAGGTTCAAAGTTATCACTGTAACAGCAAAAGACGGGAAACAACTATTCATCAATGACAGGTTAAATAAATTATGGTATATTCATCCAATAGAATCTTATGCAGCCAAAAAAGGAAACATATTCCTTATTCCTTATATACTGATATTCAA